CAAACAGATTGGGGAAAGAAGGCACTGGATTTGGCAATAGAGAAATTGCTGATAACCTATGAAAACATATTTAACCAGTGGTGCAGTGAGTGAAAGATCAAACAAGAGAAACTCCTGCACATAGACGAAAACTTTAGTCACTGTGTTATACAGCAAAAACTTGAAAACACAAATGTCTTACCATCTAGAGAACAACCAAACACTGACATATCTATACAATGGAATTATATATGTACTGGTTGTGATGCTACTGACTTTGGTCTTTAAACAAAAACTTCCATGTTCTGTTTTGAAATTCTGAAGTTGGGACTTTAGAAACCTCTTTTCTCCTTGGTCACTTGGCTCTCTGATAAATTCTGCTGCTACCACTAAATGGAGACCAGATGTTGTTAGAGGAAGAAAAGACATATCCCTTCCTATTTGTTTCCTAGTACTGTCAGTGTCAGCCCTGAGTTACTTACAGAACAGCTGATTTTAGTTTCTAATTTTTATCGGCCCCTGCAGAACTGGCCTTTATCAGATCTCCTGAGGGATAGCAGAAGCAGTCATCCTGGTGCTCCATCATCAAAAATCCAAGTTCCAGCATAAGGGGCCCTTCCCCCAAGTTTCTAAGTCTTAATAATTTCAACTTGTTCTGCCTGTTCACCCAACCTTGGAGATTGGTGGTTGTTTCTTGTATCTATTACTTTCATGATGCCTTAATATTCCCTTTTGGACTTTTGGTTTTCTAGCACATACTTAACAACTCTTTACATTAAATATTCTCAGTTAAAATAACTGAATAAGCCTTATTAGTGAAAAGAAATAAAACATAACTACATACAACAAAAAAAATCCCATGATCACCTTTAAAAGCTTAAAACCAAGCTTGAAAAGAATCAAATTAATTCCACATAATACTGTTCCAAAATAAAGCTAAAGATTATTTCTAGAAATACAAAAATACGCAACAAGGTAAAATTCATACTGTCTGATGACATCCAATAAAAAAAAAATCAGGCAGGCAAAGAGGTGGGAAAATATAAGCCATAATTAAGAGAAAAAGTATTCAATTAAAATCTACCTATAAATAACATGGGTGATAAAACTGGTAGACAAAAACAGCAAAAATTAGTTTAACAATATTCTGTATGTTCGAGAAGCCAGAAGAATGACTGAACATGTTAAGTAGAGACGTGAGAGTTAGAAATAAAAATAAAAGACCCAATCTGAACTTCTAGAGATAAAAATTAAATTGTTGCATATGAAAAATGCACTGAATGAAATCAGTGGCTAATTAGACACTGCAGAAGAAAAATGGTTGATGAATTTGAAGACACAGGAATAGGAATACAAATCATCCTAAGATAGAGAACAACAAAAAGAAAAAAAGAGCAAGGGACCTCAGAGTTGTGAAATAATTCAAGCTTAAGTGAGGTCATCAAAAGAGAAAAGGAGGGGCTATGAAAATATCTGAAGAAACAACAGCTGAAAAGTTCCTGATTTGATGAAAACTATAAACCTATAGACCCCAAAAGTTTAATAAAACCCATTCAAAAGTGGTATTTAGAAAACTATTCCAAGGCATACTAAAACTAAATTGTTCAAAATGAGTGACAGAGAAAATCTTCAATGCAGCCAGAATTTACACATTTACACAAACACACACACACAAACACACACACACACACACACACACACGAAGAATAAAATAGGGATGACAGTGGATTTCTCAAAAACAGTGCAAGACAAGCAACAATGCAATTTTTATTTTTTTTTGGAACGTGAAAAAAAAATTTATGTGCTCATTTCTAGCATTTGAAGTACTCCTCGATGACTTCCCTGGCTTGAGATTCTTTGCCATAGTCCTTAACAACTACACAACTGAAACCAACCACTTTACGGGGTTTGCCCTCTCACAATTTTTCAGAGGCCTACCCATTCTCTTAGTTTCTGGTTGTCATCGACCTTAATTACATTGATTTGGTGCTTAGCACAAAAGGCCTCCACCAATTTGACATACATAGGCTCATTACAGTTGGCTGCAAGCACACAGAGATGGGCCTGGCCCATAATTCCTCTCAAAGTCCAGATGTTTCTGCAACAAACATCAGCTTCATGTTTCATTAATTTAGCATAATGCTTGATTTGCTAACTGCTACAAATGAGGCTCAGGATTCTCAAGACAACGAGAATAGAGCCACAACCCATTTAAACACACACAAAAAAATGTCGACTAAGCATTCTATAATCAGTAAAAAACATCTTTCAAAAATGAAAGCAAAATACTCTCTAGGTGTACAAAAGCTGAAAAAAATTCATTTCCAGTGTCCTCACTATACTGTTAAAGAAGTCCTTTATCCTGAAAGAAAATATGAAATGAAAACTTAAGACATATACAAAAGGATAAAAATACCAAAAATAATAACAACACGGGTAGAGTTAAAAAAACTGGTTTGATTTTTTAGATCTCTTTAAAAGACAACTGAAAAAGAATCCAAACTGAAAAGTAATATGTAATGCTATCTCTATTCACAGATGGCATGATCTTTTATGTAGAAAATTATAAGGAATTTACCAAAAAAAAAAGTTAGCAAGGCTATAGGATACCAGATCAATTCATAAAAATAAACTATTTCTATATACTAACAGTGGACTTAAAAAGAAATTAAGAAAACAGTTCCACACACAATAGCATTAAAATGTATGAAATACTTGACGATTCTGTAATTCCTATGAAAATACATGGGACCCAAAATAGCTGAAACAATCTTTCAAGAACAACAAATTTGGAGGACTCCCCAATTCCAAAACTTCCTGCAAGGCTAGACTAATGAAGACAGAACTGGCATACATAAAAAACATAAATCAAAGGAACAAAAAAAGGAGTCCAGAAAATAACCCTTATATTTATGGTCAACAGATTTTTGACAGGATGCCAAGACAATTAAAAGGAAAACGACAATCTTTTTCACAAATGGTTTGAGACAACTGGATGTCCACATGCCAAAAAATTAAGCTAGGTTAATACCTCACACCATACACAACATTTAATTCAAATGGAACAAAGATTAATAAGACTGAGAGCTAATGCTATAAAACAAAAGAAAATTTAACCATAAATCTTGTGACCTTAGATTGGACAATAATTTCTTGGATCTGACACCAAAGCAAGGGAAACAAAAGAAAGCACTAGAAAAATTGAACTTTATCAAAATTAAAACCACCAAAAAAAAAAAAAAAAAACCTGCATAGAATGGGAGAAAATACTAGCAAATTGTATATCTAACAAGGGACTAAGAAATGGAATCTAAAAAGAATTTTCATAACTCAACAATAAAAAGACAATTTGATTAAAATACATCTGACAAGATATTTGTCTGAAAAAGATATAGACATGGCCAAGAAGCACATAAAAAGATACTCCATCATTAATCATTAGGGAAATTAAATTAAAATCACAATGTACTACCACTTCACAAGCACTAGGGTTGCTATCATCAAAAAGATGGACATAAACAGTGAGAATGTGGAGAGTTGGAGGCCACACACAGTGCTGGTAGTAATTGTACAATGATGTAGCCACTTTGGAAAATAGTTTGGCATTTTGTCAAAAGGTTAAACATATAATTACCATACTGCCTAGAAATTCTAACTATATTCCCAAGAAAGCTGAAAACATATTTCCACAAAAAAAATTGTATATGAATGTTCATGGCATAATTACTCACAACAGCCCAAAAGTGAAATATCACAAGTCTCTTAACTGATGAATAAGCAAAATGTTTTCATCCATAAAAAGAAATTAAATAATGATAAGCAATAAATATAGATGAACTCTGAAATCACAATCACAGTTAAATCCTGTAGAGTACTAAACATAATCATGAGTAACAAACTAGATATTAAAAATGTCTTTAAGAATATAAATTAAAGATTGCAAAATTTTCTCTATAAAGAGTCTGATAAATGTTTTTGGCTTGTTTATTTATTTATTTATTTGTTTTTGATTTTTTATTTGTTTTAATTAGTTATACATGACGGTAGAATACACTTATATACTTTGATATATCATACATAGATGGGATATAATTTCTCATTTTTCTGATTATATATATTGTAGAATCACATTGGTCATACAGTCACATACATACATAAAATAATAATGTCTGTTTCATTCTACTATCTTTCTTATCCCCACATCCCCTGCCTTCCCCTCCTTTCACTTCTCTCTAACTAATCTAAGGTAATGCTATTCTTTTTTTTTTTTTTTGCATTACAATTCTTAATACATGTTTTTGGCTTGTTGTCATGCAGTCTCTAGCTATAGATAATATGGAAAAGAAAAAGCATGGGTAATCTCAAAAAAAAAAAAAAACAGGCAGCAGGAGGATTTGATCCAAAAGATATAGATTCCAAAGCCTGACTTGAACTCTGCTTGGGAGAAAATATAACAAAAACTAAAGTAAAATAAAGAAATCAGAGAGGACTTGCACCAAAAGAAAGTGCACATGCAAAGACAAAGCATGAGAAGAAATCGATAACAGGGCTATGAAAAGTGAGAATCTTTATGATATTATTTTCTAAGTAAATGTAATGATAATAATGCTGGTGAAATTTCCTTAATAAAGTGTCATTATTATATAATGGTTTATCCATCAACAGATAAACAAGAACAAAACTCATAAATGATATCCAATTTAAAAAAAATCTTGTTAATCTGATTCATTAATGCCATACAGATCAGAATGTAGATTGTTTGAGACATAAGATACTATATTTTCCTAGCTAAGCCTTAAAGTTTGTCTAGATATTTTGGAACAAACCTTTGAATTATATAGATATTTCATATTCATAGTCAGCATTTTCAAAGGTCCTAGAAGTTTCTGTATCTTTTGAGAATGTTTGCAGATCACCTAAAGTTATTTTAAAGGCTCTTCTACCCATAATGGCAAGTACTTATTTTTAAAAAATGAATAATAAGAAAAAGTAAAAATTAAAATAAAAATTAGGATACTCACCTGTTCATTTACTGAATCTCCTGCAGCTTTTAAAGATTTCACAGAGACTGAAGCGTCAGCCACTCTGAAAGTCTTATTACCTCTAACATCAGCTTTTGGACTTATCAACTTGTGTCTTGATTTGGTATTTCCTTCTGTAGAAATTCCTAAGGATTTTCATTAAACAAGATTTTGAAATTATATTTTCTCATTCTCTTAAACCCTCCCTTCATAAACCTCTCCCTTAGTATCCTGTACTTTATGGGAGCTTATAGGAAAAACTTTATAAATTTCTTTTAAAGTTCTCTTAATATTCAATGAATCATGAAAAGGTGATATTTTAGAGAAATACTTTAAAAAGCCATTGGAAACGTTTTTAAAAGGTGTCGTGAACAGTCGTAAACCTTAAAACCAATAAAGTACAACATACCATAAATAACTTAAGAGAAATCAAAGATAGTTTTCACCAAATTAGGATGCCTTCAATGATTCCATTTTACTACTTCTCTATTAGCCACCAATAAACTTTAGAGAGTCTCTTAATATCCCTATATCAAGAAGTTTCCACACTTTTCAAAACATTAAATTTAGGCCATTTTTCATTTTAGAAATTTTCAAAGAATCTCTTACTTCATAATATGTGAAATAGTTTACAAGTTCATTAAAAGTTGATTTGCCCAACCACTGCCCAAGATGAATCAGTATTTTAAACCTCAATAGGGTCTGGTCAAATACACAAAAATAACTTGAATTTTTGAATTTGTTGTGAAGTAACAATTTTAGATTTAGAATTTGAAGGACTGTCCTGCATTCAAGAAGGATTTCTTGATGTTTTATATTCTCCTAACACTTAAGAAGCAAAGGAGGTTTCCCAAATTTGAACATAGAAAGTCATACCTGGAACATATACTACTGATTGTTCTTCGTCAGAAACTATGAAGGAAGACATAAAGGAAAATACTATAAAAGATTATATCAGGGGCTGGGCTATACCTCAGTTGGCAGAGTGCTTGCCTTGCATGCACAAGGCCTTGGATTTAATCCCCAGCACCATAAAAAAAAAGTAAGATTATATCAATATCCAAATGTTGTGCCTACATGTCTGTTATCAATTCTTCATCTCTTTTGACTGGGGAATTTACAACTAACTTCTAAAAACAAAACTAAACTAAATTACTTTAACCCAAGCAATTGAATTAAATGTAGCAAAATAATATTCTTTAAAAATTCATCTTTATATAGTCACATACAAATTGTTTCATACAAATTCTGAAGGCTTTATTCCATGAAATTTATATCTAATCTTATTTCCAAATAGGATATCTTATAATATATGTTCTGCTATTAGATTTCTTTCCATTCATGCTCCAGTTTGCCCATTATTGAGAAACTGACAAGTTATTTTAGAATAAAGAATATAAATAATTTCAAGACAGGCTCTAGCTTTGAAGAACAAACACTGTTTGGCAAGTCAATTGAGCAAACACAAAGGCAACATTTATTTTTCTGCAGTATATTCATGAAATGTCCCATGAAGCCCTGCTACTGAAACTGAAAGAAATTTAAGACCAATAAATAAGTAAATAAATAAATATTTTAAATTTCAAAAGAAGAAATTTAGAAAGGGTAAAATCATAATGTTGCTATAGAAAGAGAGCCAACATAAGCTTTTTTTCTAGAAACAAAGTCCTATTCAGAACCCTATCCAGCGAGGTCTACATTTTGGTAATCTTCTGTTACACTTCCACAAAAGAAGCCTAGAAACAATTTTCTTTTCAAACAATCTAGAAAATTCCAAAGTTTTCTGTTCTTTTGTACAATGTTTTCAAAGATTTCTGGATAAAAGCAATTATTAACTGTAGGCTTCTGGAAAAGGCTAGAGTGGATGTAACACATTCAAAAAGTCAATTAGCTGAGCAATTTTATCAACCCTTGTAATAGAGTCTAGTCTTTCCAGGGAACACTGACTGGAAATGCCTAGAATCCTATAAAAATACTAGGAATGCTAGATGGTGTTTACTGTTTGCCAGCTGGATTCTCACAGATCTCGGCATTAGCACATGTACTATCATCATAGGTTTCAGATTTGTGCTAATAATGAGTGCCCCTAAATTTTCAATTTCCTCAAACATCAGGGATGGAGCTTAGATTTTAGGAGACATATAAGGCAAGTAAACCAAAAAGTTAGAACCTCCACTCCAAAGAAACTGTCAGCAACTAGTGTGAGAGCAGAAAGAACATTTCTAAATTTACTGATATCCAATCTAAAAATAACCTTAAAAAATGAAATTGTACAGGCTTCTCAATAACAAACATTATTCATATTTTTTATATTCCTTAGGACAAGCACAGGGCCTTGTAAGCACAGCAGGTGCTCAATCTATGTTTATTTGCTATTTGAATTGTACTTAGAAAAGAGATCTGATGGGGGGGGGGGGGGGCGGTGATTCATGACAGTGATGCTAGACCTCTATAAATGGCTGTACTTTTAAGTAGAAGGGTACAGTAATGAAGAATTTCAGTTTTCTCCAAAGATGACCTATGGAAAGACTAACATAACTCAGTCTTAGAAAACATAACTCAACACTTCCCTACATCACTTATGAAGGAGCCTGCTCACAATTGGAAGAGATCAGCCCCTGGACCCCACTGAATTTCAACTTGATTTGGAAACGCAAGTATTTCTTACTTTGTTTTCTCTCCTCAAACTTGACAACTTTACCCATCCTTAGTGTCAGCTAATAACTTTGCCTCCTATTTCTTAAAACAAAACAGAACCAATTTCCCCAGGCTTCCATCAGCATATCTACTGACCTTTCCTGTATCTGTGCCCATAGACTCTGCTTTCTCTTTTTGCTACAGATGAACAGTTCTTGCTCCTATCTAATACCAACATACCATTATACAAATTTTTTTACCAAAGGGTATTGCTCCTGATATTATCCCTTTCTTTCTCCTGACTCAATTATTTTTCCTATTAAACTGTCTACATTAGCATGGAAACATGTAAAAACTTTTTCCAGAAAAAAAAACCCTCTTCTCCAACCACTACACCAACTTTGCTCCCCTTCATAGCAAAACTTCTCAAGAGACATTTACTGTCTCCAACTCCTCTCTTCCCAGTCTTAAACCTACATCAATCCAGCTTTTGACTCCATCAACCCAATACAACTACTTTTGATAGTTACAATGTTCTGTATTGTTAAAAATCCATTAATCAATTCTGTTAATATTATTTGACATAGAAAACACTCTCCTTAAAATACGTTTTTGTTTAGCTTTAAAGACACCACATATTCATAATTTTTCTCCTACTTTTCTAACAATTCCTGCTTAGTCGTCTTATTAGACTCCTAACCTATAAACCTTGGAGTGACCCAAGGCCCAGTTTTTCCTACATCTTCTTTTTCTCTTGGTGACCTCATTCAGTTCTCAGGTCTTTAAACACCATAAATAAGTTGACTTTGACCAAAGTAATTTTTAACAGGAGCCTATCCCCTAAACCTGACATTGCTCCTTTTGATTATAAAAGATATCTAAAATTCAAATGTCCAAAACTTAAGTCCTAATCTTCATCTCAAAAGTTGCTATTCCAAAGCCTTCCCTTCTCAATGAGGCAATTCCATTCTTCCAGCTGCCCCCAACAAAAACAAGGAGTTATTCTTGATTCTTCTCATAGCTCACATTTAGAAAATTCTGTTGGTGCTTCAAATTATACTCTAGCCCCTCCTAGTCCCTATCACTTCTCACCAATAATATCACCTTGATCCTAGCCACCTTTTCCTCTCCCCAGGATTATTACAATTACTTCTTAACTGATTTCCCATGTTTCTATGCATAACTCCTTAACTGTCATTATTTAGTGCTGGTAAAGAACATTTTAAAATCATTCATATTAAACATCCAAGTATTTACAAGGGCCATGCTCAAGATCTTATCTCTCACCCTATCACCTCATTTGGGACCAGTTTTCCCTTCATTTATTCCTGGTTTCCTTACATTTGTCAATGAGCTATGCAAGTTCCTACCTCAAGAGTTTTTGCATTGATTTCTTCTATCCAGATAGCTCTTTCCCAATATTTTCATGATTTCCTACCTTACTGTGTTTAGGACTTTGGTCATATGCCACCTTCTGACTGAGGCTTTTACTTCCTAAACCACATAGGTACTTAAAATGGCAAAACTCTTTCTTCCTATAACCCATCTACCTCCCCCTTCCAGCTTTATTTGCCTCCAAAATACCTATAATTATTAGACATAAAACATGTTACTTATTCATGGCCTTATCTCACTTAAATATAAGCAACAAGAGGGAGATGATTTCCCCAAACATAAAAGAAGCCTCTGGGTCCCAGTAAGCCATCTATGAAAGAATGAAACTGACATTTAATTTTATAAGACACAAGAACTTTCAGTGTTCTTCCTCTATCTCATTCAAAATATGTGAACAAGGGCTGGGGCTCTAGCTCAGTGGTAGAGCACCTGACCCTCACATGTGAGGCACTGGGTTTGATTCTCAGCACCGCATAAAAAATAAATAAATAAAGATATTGAAAAAATATGTAAACAAAACTTATTACTTCTAACTATATCCATACAAAATTTTTTAAATACAAAAAACCTTCTAAGTTAATTTGACTTCAACAATATTTGAAAATGCTTTCAAATAAAATATTTGAAAATGCTTTCATCCACACTATTCTTTCTAGTAATATGTAATCTTATCTTCATCTCATTATCTTATTATTCAGGATTTACCCACAAGTATATACTTTAAGGAGAAGTCGAAGAGGCATAATATATACCAAATGCATATTGAACCTGCTATTGCGTTCTCCGTGCCACCTTATTTCTACTTTGATTACTTTAGAAACATCTCAATGTGACAAGAATTAGCAAGTTGTAAAGCATTTTTAGTGCTGGTACCAATTTATTTAAATGCCCCCAAATTAAAAGAGTAATTAGAATCCACAGGCAGAAGGGTTAGAAAGAAGCATCTTGGGCTGGGGTTGTGGCTCAGCAGTATAGAGCTCACCTAGCACATGTGAGGCCCTGGGTTTGATCCTTAGCCCCACATAAAAGTAAAAATAAATAAAGGTATTGTGTTTAACTATAACTAAAAAATAATATATATATTAAAAAAGAAAGGAAGAAGCATCTCTATTCTAGATATCCAGTGTAGGAAATAAGTGTATAGTGCTACCCACTCTAATCTTCTCAGTTGTAATCACCAGCAACAAATGTATATGTAATTATTATTGACCACAGAGACCTGAGCTTGTATATTATCTTTACATTCACATAAAGGTTTTGCCTATTTTTATTTGAGAACTCAATAGCAGAGATTATAGCTACTGAAATGTTCTTGACAAGGTCCCTTGCAGTTCATATTTGTTAATATCAAATCATTAATATAATTAATGATAATCCACTTAAGTGCATGTAAGTAATCAAATTTAGATACTGCAAAAACACTAACTGCTTCTAACATTACCAGAAACTATTACAAAGGAGGAAAGCAATTTACAACTGAACCAACATTTTCCTGGAAGATTTAACTCATAAAATGTCAATGTGGCATACTCATCATTTACACTTACTACGACATGAGGCCTCTGTATGACATACTTTGTGCAAAACACCACTACTGAATCACATTGTGTAGGAGATGCATAACTCACAGCAGCAGTTTTTAAATGTGGTAATGATCTGTCCTCATGATGGAAACTTCTAGAATTGACAAATCTCTCAGATTTCTCTAATTGCTTTTCAAAACAATTAGAGAGCATTGAAAATCTTTTCTTCAATGGTATTAAAAGAATTTGAGATCATAGTTACATACTATTTGACCCTTTTCTATTGAAAATTCTACTTCTAAGGCTCTGGGTTAGTCTGGGCAATCAACAATGTAACTGAAAAGAAATCAAAAATCAACCCATAGGAATAAACAAAATGATTCATATCTATCATTATGCTTCTCAATTCTCAGTAACAAAATGATATCTGGCACTGCTTTTATGCCCCATGATGATTTGAAATGAAAATATCTGAGGCTGGATGTTAACTGGTCATCAGAGGGATTGGGCTGGGGAAACAAGTGATGCTAGTAACCTTGCAATTCCTTTCCAACATCTGAATTTCTACAGAATGTCATCCTATTTTTCCCATACAATTTCAGTTCCTCAACATCACTGAGTAGATGAGTATTTTATATTAAATTTCAGAGTGAAAATATAAGACATAGGGTGTATTTGTGACTTTTCTATATGAAATAGAGTGACATCTATATAAATGAGAACAGAGCTGCTAAATCCAAGAGCATACGTCATTCCACACACTTGATAATTAACTTAGTCCCACTGCAATCAATTGTCATTCCACCCCCAACCACTTATTCTATATCAGAACAATACCATTGATTGTTATAATGAAATAAGAATCTCCTGTCTCTCAAAACCCTTTCAATACAGAGGCAGTGCTTCATAAGGAAAGGTTCATTCCAATTTCTGGACTTCCTAATTCAGCCCAGTTGTCCCCCATGCACATATTCTCTTCTCATCCCTACTGACAGTTAAAGTGCACTTTCATCCACAGTGTATGTACATGATTTCATTTGATTCTTACCAACCTATCAGAGACAAGTGGTAATTTTGTTTAGTAATTGCATAATACTAAACACCCAGCAGCAAAGAATGCAAAAATAGTCCTCTCTTCATATGAAACTCTAATCCTAGTAACTCAATAAGGAGAACTGGTAATACAATTTTGTAAATTTCACTGGGAGCTAAGTAGAATGTCTAAAGAGTGATTCCGCCAAAGGTAACAGCAATATCTCAACGCCAACCCCAATCCTCGAAAACAGACAAAAAGACTTGCCTCTGCAGGTAACCAATAACACTGATTGCATTTCTTCTCCCAGGTAATGCGCCTCTAAGGAACTAAAAGTAAATTACCAGGAGGAAAGCTCAGGTTACAACAGTCTACCTAACCCAGGGGGAAAATAGCCCTGTCAAGCAAACATCACGGATATTGAACTGGGACTACTACCACGGTGATGGAAGGCTCCAAACAATCGCACAATTTCAAGCCCTGCCCTTGGTGACCCGCGATCTACTTGTAAATCACCTTCCTAGGCACCTGATTTTGTAATCAGCACCACCAGAACACATCTCTGTGAAACCAAGCCCTACACCTACAGCCTCAATTCGAAAATGTAACATCACTGAAAGGCCCTTAAAGTCCGACAAAGTCTTGACTTGAGCCTAACAGCATAGACCATGGGCAATTCTAAATCAAGACAAAAATCTCCCTGCCCGGCCAGCAACTGCCCCTGTCCAGCTCACATCCACTCTTCCTCAACCATAAGCCTACACTCTGTCCGCCTGGGTTACACAGGGAGGGTCGGTGGACGGAGCCTCCCGGACCCAGGCTGGGCCAAGACTAGGCCATCTTTCAAAGCTCACCACCAAGGAGGGCAGGGAACCATCGGTGCAGTGTCGCACACCTGGAATTCCTGTCTGGTGACACCTAAGACCCAAGCGAGAGGGAGCCCGGCACCTAGACTGAGGCCGGACAGCGCGTCTCCGCCTCCGGGTTAGATCGCGCTTTCCCTGGCCACCCAGAGTCCCACGCGACAGCTCGCCCCTCGGCCGGGGGAGGGCGCCGGCGCCCCCTGCCAGCCGGGCAAAAGGATACAGTCGCGGCTCCAGAACGCCGCGGCGCCCGGGCGGGAGGGGCCCGCCACGTCCGCCATCTTGAAACAACCGCCACTCGGGGCGTTGCGCCGAGGCCGCCACGCCCCGGCCCCCAGTCTCAGTCCCCATTGGACGCACGGCGCAGAGGCCCGCCCCCGCTTGCGCGGCCGGCTGCGGCGGGGCAAGAGGGTCAGGGCGAAAGGGAGGCGGGGTCCGAGTGGTGAGGAGTGGAGCGCAGCGCCGGGCCGCGGGAACGAGCGCCGGGAGGAACTACTGTGGCCCGACCAGTTCGGGCCGCCCATCTCCTCTCCGCCGCGCTCTCAGGCGCCGAGAACTACAGCTCCCGGCATGCCGTGAACTGCATGGCCGAGGCGCCGAGGCGGGGTCCGGCCCTCCTTCGGCCCGCCCCGCTTTCCTCACCGGCCTCAGGCGCTGTCTCCGCCGCGCGCTGAGCCGGGACGCGAGCCATGGAGGAGGCGTCGCCCTCGCTGCTGAGTTGCAGTAAGCCGCACCTGGAGAAGTTGACACTGGGCATCACCCGCATCCTAGGTGAGGGGACCGAGAGCCAGGGGAAGTCGAGTCTGGGACGAGGGGGCTTGGAGAAGAAAAGAGGTGGAGAGGTGATGTGTGGGGTGGACGGCACGACGCTAGACCCTGCGTACGAGCAGGCTTCGCTGCTCTGACATCGGTGGTTGAGGGAAAGAGAGAGACCCGGGTGCGTGACCTGGCCCGGTAAGAGTTTGCGGGGAGTGTTCCCAGAAAGAGCTGGGAAGCCGGAAATTCCCCCCCTCCCCGCCCACTTCCAGAGCCTGAAAGACCCGCCAAGAAGCGCAAAGGGAAGACAGTAAGCACCTGGCATTTGGGGGGCCGGGTCTCCCAAGAGGCATTCTTAGCCAAGGTGGTATCCTTGAAACCCAAGCCTTTCTCTGGTACCAGAGTGAGCTGGGGGAATGATGCAGCCAACCTCCCTAAGAAAGCATCAACCGCCAAGCTCCTCCTTGTGCTGCACCTAAAGTGTCAGAAAGGAGTCAAAGCTTGTGCCGCTGGATGGGTTACAGTTTTTCTTTAATTCAGCGTTTATTTAGTAACCACCCCTGATGGGCTAGGGATATAGCTCGGTGGTAGCACCTAGTAAGTGCAAAGTCTGGATTCAGTCACCACTAACACACACACAATAGGAACCACTACTGTCAGATGCTGGGGTTAGTGATGAAAAACTGAACAGTAGCATGAAACGAGGTCAGTAACCTATCACTGCTCAGAAGTAGCACAGAGGAGGTGATTGGCTTTTGGGGGAAATTAAAGAACATGTCCCAGAGATGATGCTGTATTTTCATTGATAAATAAGAGTTAGCCCCACTACCAAGGAGGAGAAAGGCTGTCTTAAGCAGACTGAAAAGCGTGCCTCAGTGCCTTCCCATCACAATTATAATATACTTGAAATTTCTCTACTGTGTCCCACAAGTCCCTGTAGGATCTGCTCTCATCTGTTAGTTTTCACTGCTTTGGCCACAGGGTGGCCATATTAAGGCTATGACTTTAAACACACTAAACTTGCTTCTGCTTTAAACTCTTTGCAATTTGTTTGGCCTTCCACCTGGAATTATTTTCCTCTGAATGTTTCCCTCACAACATTCAGATTTCTGATGAAATTATTATTATGCCAGAGAAGCCATCCCTGAATATAGTTGTAACAACATCCATCCTTCCTGCTCTTTCCTTAACTTACTTTAAAAAAAAATGGGCACCACATCACTAATTGAAATTATGAATGTAATAAATTTTTTAATTTGTCTTTTTATAGAAGTCCAAGGTTTATCTTAGGAATGTGCAGTTTAAGATATGAAAATCAATTAGTATAATTTGTTAATAGAATAAAAGAGAACCAATACAGTCATTTCAATTGATGCAGAAAAAGCACATGATAAAATCCAACACCCTTTCTTTTTTTTTTAACCCTTATTTTATTTATTTGTTTATTTTTATATGGTACTGAGGCTTAAACCCAGTGCCTTGCATGTGCTAGGCGAGCACTCTACTGCTGAGCCACAACCCCAGCACCCCCAACATCCTTTCTTGATTTTAAAAAGAAAAAAAAAAAACTAAAAATACAATGGATTAGAGATAGAACTTCTTCATGCTGATAAAGGGCATCTGTAGAAAGTCCACAGCTAGCATCATGCTGAAAGCCTGACAGCTTTCCCCCTTCAGATCAAGAACAACAACAAAAAAGTCAGAGGTCCCCAAGTCCACACCAAATTTGATGTTCCCTGGGAGTATTATAAGACAGGGAAGATTGTCATACTCAGGGATATGATTTATTACAGAAAAGGGATATAAAGCAAAATCAGCAAAGAGAAAGATAATTGTAGGGATGTCAAGTAAACCAGGTGTGAAGCCACATCGAATGTACTTAATTTTTCCAGCAACATGTTGTTGTAGTATATCTGAAATGTGTATCAGGAATGCTTACCTGAGGCTAGGAGTCCAGAACTTTTATTGAAAATCAGTCATCTAGGTACCTTTCACCTACCAAGCACCAAAATTCCAGACTCTCTAAGGAAAAACAGGTGTTCAGCATAAACCATATTGTTTGCAATAATACTTTAGATATGGCACATCATTCTTATCAGAAAATGATGAAAACCCTCCTTAGATTCAGTTTTCTAGCCAACTCAGGGTAATTTTACAAGAATTTCAGTCTTAGGCCTATTATATTTGGTCTTTTCTCAATAACAAGAATTCTCCTCTTACCCACTCGTACACATTGTATTAGAGGTTCTATTCAGGGTAAGTAGGCAGAAAAATGAAATAAAATCAGAAATAAAGATTTCTCCACTTACAGATGATACATTCTTATATACAGAAAAGTGGGGGGACCCTATTGTGTTAGCTTTTTACTGCTGTGACCAAAATACCTGATAAGAACAAAGAGGAAAAGTTTATTTGGGACTCAGTTTCTGAGGTTCAGTTCATCGTCAGCTGACTCCATTGCTCTAGGCCTAAGGTGAAGCAGAACATCATGGCAGAAGGGTGTGGCAGAACAAAGCTGCTCAGCTCATGGCAGCCAAGAAACAGAAGTGCAAGAAAGGGCCAGAAACTAATATAATCCCCAAGGGCACATCCCCCAGTGACCTAATCTTCAGGCCTTGACACCCACCCAACCCCTGCTTACCACCCAGTAATCCATTCAAATTATTCATCAAATGGATTAATTTACTGATGAGATTATAGCCCTTATGATTCAATTATTGCTTAAAAGCCCCACCTGAACCTTGCTAGGGAAGAACTGGGAAATTAATTTGGTTACTATTCACAAAGCCTCTTATATCTTTGTCTGGCTTTGTGGCCAGAATTCTTAAATCATGTAAGTGACAGCTTCCTCTGACCTGTGCATATTCACCTGCCTTGGAAAGTCTCTTTTCCAAGCCCAAATTCTTCGTATCTGTCAAGGTTCTTAGTTGCAGGCCATAGAATACACTCTGGCTAGAATAAGAAACAATATACACTTTAGCTAGTTAAGGCTAGAAAGGTATCAATTAAGGGGCAGTAACTTAAAAAAAATTGGGAGACCTGAAGCAGACTCTACAATGAGAACTTTACTGCAAATAAAGAAAAAAAAAGGTGTTAAGTAGTAATACCTGAAGTACCTGCAGTTAATGTAATAAAGAAGCTTAGTGTTTAAAAAGTTATGTTGCTGCTGATGCCATCATTGCAATACCCAACCCGATGAGATCAAAATACCTCTGAAATTATGCTTGTGAGAAGGTCTCCTCTCTGCATTTGCCCTCTACATCACCTGCTTATCCCTTTTCCAAACTTATGGGAATTTTGTTTGTCTGAGGAATCCTAAATGCAGTGGAATCTGGGAAATGCAGTTTTTAGCTGTCCAATCTCTAAAATACAGGTGTGCACACTAGGAGGAAGCAGAAGTAGGTGTTCATTGAACCAGTCTGCAGTAACTTCCACATCATCCTTCAAGGGCCAGATGAGCTGTGCATTATTTCTGACATCTTCCTTTCACTTGTTCAGTCTTCATCAACCTCCCTCTGCATTCAACTCCTGTGGTCCTTGGGGTCATTATCACCTATTTTAACACATAATTATATAATCTTGAAGTTTTCACTTTTGTTGCATATTTGTCTTGTTTAACTAGCAGTGAGTTTCTCGTTAATTCTTAATATCTGGTAGTAATTTCACCAAGTTAAGGATATAACAAATCCTTGTTAAATACTCCAGAGATTGTTGACTTGGATTGTTTTCTACTGGGAAGTATGTTACACTGTGAAGTAGTGTTGCAGGGTGACAAACCGCCCCAAAACATATCGACTTGAAACAAATTACTAACATTCCTAGTTCTTGGATTGACTGGGTTTAGCTGGGATACTTCATTTAGGGTTGCTCAAGTGTTTGCAGGTCTATGCAACTGGGATTGAAATTATCTGATGGCTTTTGAACTAACATGTCTGGTTTCCTTAGTGTTCCTCAATATGACCTGTCTCTCCAGAGAGTAGATTGAATTTGAATATGATGACTCAGGATTCAAAGGAAAAGGGAAACCGCCAGTCTTCTTAAAGTTTAAGTCCAAAGTTGGCACAGCATGTCTTCACCGTGTTCTATTGTTCAAAGCAGTTACATGTCAACTCCAAATTTAAGGAGGTGGAGAAACAGACTTCACCTCACAATGGAGAAAGGAAGGAAGGAATTGATAGCACCCAATGTAGGAATAAACTACCACAAAGTTTAAAAAGTGAATAATTTTATGTGTCCACTTGCATCCTTGGACACCAGACCTTTGGATATATATTGAAGAGTGGAATAACTGGGTCAAATGGTGGTACTATTCCAACCATTTGGAGGAATCTCTATACTGCTTTCCAGAGTGGTTGCACCAATTTAGAGCCCCACCAGTAGTGTATACCTTTTCCTCCACATCCTTGGATTTTATGATGCATAGAAAGCGTATAATCAGAGGTCATCACTATGCAAACATCCAGGTTGTTGGCAAAGAGTTCTATATTCTGTCCTACTGCCCATGAAGTGTTAGGTTATTAAGACTGATGAAAGCTAGATTCTGAAGTTGTATAGGATAATTTCTATAGAGCTGTGCTAAGGAACATGTAGCAACTTTTGCACGTAAACTTTTGCACTCTTCTTAACTAGACATACTTGGGAGAGACCTGGCTATGTGGCTTAAACTCTCAGCCTCAATATACTTATCTAAAATGTTAATAATAACATTTATTATTCAGTGCCCAGTGGGACCACCCTTGAAGGGATGGATACACAGACTCTTTCATCCCCACCAGTCAGGCACATGGCAAAGATTCATCCATGCCTAATGGCTTGAAGCTCAATCTTTTCCCACTATAGCACAATGCTTCCAGTGTCTTAGAATACTGAACGGGGGCAGGAAAAAAGTGTTTAATTATATGTATGAAACATTTTACTTTTCTAAAGCATTCTCACTCCTACTTTCCCTACAAGGGAAATAGTAGTATTCTATCTTACTGAAGGCAAAGAGAAGTGAGGACTCATCTCAGGCCATACAATTACTAAATGAATAAAGAAAGACCAGAGAATAGGCAGAATCCAGAATTTTTAGTTGGGCTGTTACTGCATCCTATAATTTTCTGACAACTTGGAGAAAACATTGTATTATATATATATATAATTTATTTTTCAATAAACATGACAGTAGAGTGTATTTTGACATGTTATACCTTCATGAAGTATAACGTATTCTAATTAGGAGCCAATTATTGTGGTTGTACATATATGGAGTTTCCTTGGTCATGTATTCCTATAGGAACAAGGAAAGTTATGTCTATTTTGTTCTACTGTCTTTCCTATTCCCATCATTCCCCTCTGTCTAATCCACTGAATTTCTGTTCTCCCTCCCCCCCTTGTTGTGTTAGCATCCACATATCAGAGAATACATTCAGCCTTTGGTTTGGGGGCATTGGCTTATTTCACTTAGCATGATAGTCTCCAAATCCATCTATTTACCATCAGAAGTCAAAGTCATTTCTTTTTATGGATTAGTAATATTTTGTGTATATATACCACATTTTCTTGATCTGTTCATCTGTTGAAGGGCACTAGGTTGGTTGTATAGCTTAGCTATTTTGACTTGAGTTGCTATAAACATTGATGTGGCTGTGTCACTATAATATACTGATTTTAAGACCTTTGGATATATACTGAAGAGTGGAATAACTGGGTCAAATGGTAGTTCTATTTCAAGTTTTTTGAGGAATCTCTATACTGCTTTCCAGAGTGGTTGCACCAATTTACAGCCCCACCAGCATTGTATACCTTTTCCTCCACATCCTTGGAGGAAACTTTTATGATGCATAGAAAGCGTATAATCATAGAACCAGTGAACCACATAAAACTAAATTAGAAGTCTGCCATATTCCTAGAAATTTTAAAAACTAATTTCAGTTTTTAAATTCTTGTATAAAGTATTTCTAGAGCTTCAAAGTAAACAACCAATATCATTTAAAAATAGTATATTATCAAGTACAAACATGTAGCACTGAACCTACAGAAGATGGAATAGAGTATCAGGAAAATCAGAGATGACTATGAGCTGTAGTAATCTGTAGTAATGGTTTTATGGAGGAGGTGGAACTTGACTGTGGCTTTAAAATATGAGTAGGATTTGGGTAGATGAAGAGAGAGAGAAACACATTTGGGTATGTGCATCAGGAAAGGGGGATAGCATATTTAGAAAGGAGTATAGGTTTCACTGTGGAGATGTTGGAGGGATAAAAGCAATGAGTGAACTAACTGACACTGTCCAAGCAGAGGATTTGAACTTGGGAAGAAAGATAAAAATCAAGCATAATAAGGCCCCTATCTTCCAGACCAGAGGAAGAACTGAACAAAATTGGATAGGAAACAAGCCTAGGTATGGGCACGGTTTTCTGGTGGTATGCTGGGACAGAGCAGGAAGAGATTTTGTGGCTGTGGTTTCATCAAGGCTTACAGTGACCATGATATAAAATAGAGTGGTGACAGTAGGAATAATCTATGCAGAATCACACAGAAAAAGTGGATCATTTTCTAGGGCTGCTATACAAATGATCACACTGACATATAATAACAAAGTCATTCTCCCACAGTTCTGGAGGCCTAGAATCTAAATTATGGTGTTAGCAGGGACCATGCTCATTTTGAGACCTGTTAGGGATAGATCCTGCCTGTATCTCTTCATGAGAATTTGGCAGTTTTTGTCTTATAGATACATCAGTCCAGTCTTCCATCATCATATCATGATCTGGAATCTGAGGTACTATTCTTTATTCCTTACTCTAGCATAACAACACTAATTAAATCTGCAATAAGCCTATTTCCAAATAAGGTCATATTCTGAGGTACTGAGGTCAGGACTTCAACATATCTTTTTGGTGGAGAATTTAAACCATAAAACCTTTTCTTTTTCTCTTTCTTTTTTTTGGGGGGATACTGGGGATTAAACACAGAGGAATTTAATCACTGAGCTATATCCTCAGCTCTTTTTTATTTTAAAACAGGGTCTTACTAAGTTACTTAGGGCCTTGCTAAGTTGCTAAGACTAACCTTGAACTTGTAATACTCCTGCTTCAGCCTCCTAAGTCACTGGGGTTACAGGCATACTCCAGTATGCCTAGCATAAACCATAAAAGCTTTTATGACAGATTTTTATGTCTTAGACTAAGGACTTCAAAATGTTAAGACTGGGAGCTGATGTTGTGGCTCAGTGGTAGAGTGATTTCCTAGCATGTGGGAGGCCCTGACTTCGATCTTCAGCACCATATATAAATAATAAAATAAAGGTCTTGTGTTCAACTACAACTAAAAAAAAGTAATTAAGGGCTAGGATTGTGGCTCATCAGTAGAGCGCTCGCCTAGCATGGGCGCGACCCGGGTTCAATTCTCAGTACCACATAAAAATAAAGGCATTGTGTTGTGTCCATCTACCAAAAAAAAAAAAAAAAAAAGTTTCTCTCTCTCTCTCTCTAAAAAAAAATCTTAAGACTGGGTGACCATAGAACAAGTGAAGAATGTGGGAGGAGATATTGAATATGTTTTATTCCCAGATGACTTCTCTTTTATCTCAGAGTAATAAAGCACAGCTCCACAGACCATATTATTTGGAGATCTTTTCCAGCATTGAGGAAAGACATGACTTATTTTGTTCCCAGTATATTTCTAGACAAAAATACATTTCTCATAATGTTAGCTTAGCTTCTAAGCCCTGAAACTCATAGAGTAGAATATCATGTTCAGGATGAGTTTTATTTAGAAGAAAAGTTAGCAAGTTTTGCATCTTATAAAAGTTAATGAGGGACTGGGGTTGTGGCTCAGTGGCAGAGCACTTGCCTAACATGTGTGAGGTACTAGGTTTGATTCTCAGCACCACATATCAATAAAAAAATAAAGGTCCATTGACAACTAAAAAAAATATTTAAAAAATACTTGATGAGGTACTACTATTCCTTATTTCTTTTCACCATTTCATAAGTGTGTGTGTGTGTGTGTGTGTGTATATATATATATATATATATATATATATATTTAGCTCACTGAGAAATTTGGTGTTAAATCACTAGAAAAAGATCTTTTTTCTCTTTTCAACAAGTTAAATAAGTAGTGATTGAATGTGGAGTATATTCTGTTGGTGTTCTTTCCACCCGGTAGACTGTACCATTATCTTAGGTTACAAGACTGAGTGTCCAGCCATTTCTTTACTTTTGTCAAAGGGGATATAAATGCTCATTAGAGGGACCAGATGGTTCTAGGACAGCCATCAACAATCAACTTATAGTGTAGAAATGTGAGAATAGGCCAATTGCAACTTTACAGAGGTACTAAAGGCTTGTAGTGACCATGATGTTCTTTTTCTTCCTCCAGAATCTTCCCCAGGTGTGACAGAAGTGACCATCTTAGAAAAGGCACCTGCTGAACGTCATATGATTTCTTCATGGGAACAAGTAAGTGTTGTTTGTGGCATCCTCATCTCCCAACAAAGAGAAGTCAACTTACATGCCCCTGAGAAGGAAACATTAGGGCAGGAAACTTATTTCTACATCAGCCACAGTTGCCTTTCATTATGGAATGGCCACTTTCCCTGCATGAAGTATGTCTCCCCCTTTCCCACCCCCTCAGCCTTGGTAAACCTTTGAAGGCAGTGGATATTGGAAATTATGTACAACTACACTGAAAATCCAACAAGGATAGGAAAAGAAACATATTACTAAGTATCAGGCCAGAATATAGTTAAATGTCCTAAATAACTACTAATCAGATCCATAGCTAGTGCTTTCCAATTTTCCTCTGGTCTTTCATTTATTCAATAAAACTTTAAAGCTCCAAAAATGATTCAGGTGTGGTGCTTGCTATTGAACCCGGGGATTCAGTGGTAATTTTTTTAAAAGTCATTGTTCTTCCTCTTGATCTTACTAAGACACAGTATAAATTGTTACAAGCATAATTACAAAGTAGACAGAGTACTGTGAAATACAGATGAAGGGAGAATTTTCCGGACCCTGACCTTGTCTGGAGGTTGAAAAAAGGTTTTCCCAAAGCAGCTATGAGAAGTTGTTAACCAGGCAGATGGGACCTGGGAAGAAGGGGCTTTCGATATGTCCCAGAGCTTTGAGATGGAAAGGATTACATGAAACATAAAAATGGAGCACAGGAGAGCAAGATCATAAGGACCAGGACATTTAGGATTTTTGTTTTTTATCTCGAGAGCAAAGAGTAGCCAATGAAATGTTTAAAGTAAGAAACTGAGAAGGTCAGTTTTCTGCTTTGGAAAGATTTGAATAGCTGTAGAGTAGCAAATAGATCTGACTGGCACTGGTGGCTAAGAAATAACCCTGTGATTTAATAAGTATCTGCTAACACATATCATCTAAGTTATTCTCTATGAAATGACTTATAACCCCACAAAGTAGTCATGGTATCTTCATTTTGTAGATGAAGAGACTGAAGCTCAAAGAGGTTAAAGAAATTGTTTTGGGTCCCACAATTACCAAGTGACAGAGCCAGAATTCGAGCTCAGAATTGCCTTCCTCTAAACACATACCCTCTCTCCTATGCATGGCTGTCTCTCTAATAGAAGACAACACTAGGTATCTTGCCCTCAGCAGCCAGGCAGCCCTTGGCTGTGTGTTTAGTCCTGCCAGCATGATCTGCTCCCACACTGAGCCAGCAGCAGCTTTTCTGGAAGCTCAGTAACTGGTAGTTGAGGTTTTTCTCCAGGACTTCAGCTCAGCAGCACCTCAATTTTTCTGAGGGCTCTCTCAGCTCCCACCTCCATTTCAATTCACAGCTGATAATAGAAAAAGGGAATTTCATATAGTGTCTATTTGTTGAACTCCTTTTTTAAAAATTTAATTGACAAATAATTTTATGTATTTATGGGGTTTGATGTGGTATTTCAAATATTTCAATGTGTGTGTGTATATATACATATGTATACATTATATATATGGAAGCATGATCCAGTCAGGCTAATTAGAATTTCCCTCATCTCAGATATTTTTAGCATTTATTTGTTGTGAGAATATTTAAAATCCTTTCTTAGATTTTGAAATATACATTTTTAACTGTAGTCACTGTGCTGTGCAGTGGAACCAGAATTTGTTCATTCTAACCATTAACCAATGTTTCCTCTTTCCCCTTCCACACCCCCAACCTCAGGGAACCACCATTCTACTCTACTTCTAAGAGTTTGCCTTTTCTAGATTCCACTGTAAGTGAAATCATACCATATTCGTTTCTCTGTAGCTGACTTATTTTACTTTATTACTAAAATGTTCATACTATCCAAAGCAATTTACAGATTAATGTAATCTCTATCAAAATTTCCATGTCATTCATCAGAAATAGAAAAAACAATCCTAAGACTCATGTCAAACCACAAAAGACCGGAGATAACCAAAGCAATCTTGACCAAAATGAATAAAACTGGAGGTATCACACTGGGATTTCAAAATATGTCACAAAGCTAGAGTAATCAAAACAACATGGTACTAGCATACAAACAGACATTGGAGCAAATGTTGAACCAGCTGATCCTGTCAGACCTGTGTGGGAGGGTGAGAGAACAAAGTGGAACACCATTAAGGCTAAGACATATTATTCCACTTACTTAATGAAGCAATTTCTAAAGGGTTTTTTTTTCCCCCTTGTTTCTTGTACTATATATTCCCCAGAACTCTTTAAGGAGAAGACTATCCATTTGTCCTGGCTTTACCAGTTATAATATAGTTTACTCATTTGGAGCATACCTTCCATAACTAATTCCCAGGGCTATTGTCTGCAGTGGATCTCATTGAAATATGGTCAGCCTCCTGGACAGTGCACCATTTTGGGGTTCCCTGTTCAGCTTGGAATGACACCTAGAGAATGCAGTTACAGAGCTGGATGAATAGCCATTACAGGTCAGAAAGGAAAAAGAGATTTTTAAAGTAACTAAGATAGATAATGGCACATTCTCCTTAGACATACTCAGTAGGAAGATTTTTGTGAAAGTACCTTGAATCATAAAATACATTATTTACAATTTTCCTTTGAATCCTTTACTTAAAATAAAAGTACAAATATGCTAATTAAGGAGTACAAACCATATTAGTATCAGTAATGTAAAAATATTTTTTCACTTGTGCTTGGAGGGTCTGGGCTTTTGAAGGCCTGTGGGTTGCTTGAAAGTTAACAATCAAATGTAGAAGATAGAATTTGAAGTGTGTACCTTGGTTTTAAGATGCTGTTTTTATGTCATGATAAACAAAACATTGGTCACCATAAAAAAAAAAATGGAAAAAACAAAAAAAGGATTAAAACAACGAAAAGTCCTCTAGGATGTTACCACATAGACATACTAGTCAGCATATTTTGATTTTGTGTGTGGGTAGAAGTACACAATGCCAGTGGTCCCTGGAGTCTTTGAAATGTATGTCAGATGTGTTAGGTACATGCATGTTTCTGGGAAGAGAATTTCTCAGATTCTCAAAAGCATAAAAATGTTTTTAAATAAATTTTTTCAGTCAGAATGGGGCAATATACTACATACTATTTTGTACCTACTTTTGTCTATTAAGCAATAGAGAACAGAAGTTTTGAGCTGGTTGGGAGTTCCCCCTTTCTTCACTCAAAAGGTTACTGAAGAGCCTGTTTCCATAGGAGCATGCTTGGTAGAGCCACCCCTGACTTGTGCCTGCTTCCAGAAGTGCCTGTGCCAGAGAACAGCTGGATCTACTTCTCTAGTGAACTGATCTACAGACCTCCATGCTTGGAGACACCCCAACTAGGGAATAGCTTTCATATGGTATACTCAGTGTTCACAACTACATAAATAGCTAGAAAAGGTCCTCCATGAAGAGGCTCCCTGCCACTGCCACTGCCCCTGCCCCTTTGGAAGCTCTCTTGGAAGCTAATTGGAAATATGACATAGCAGAAAAGTTATGGAGGCACTGTGGTGTGAGGAGAACAGCTTGGAGTAGAAGTCTAATGCCAGCTCTGGGCCCTTGACTAAGTACTATAACTTCTCTGGGTGACTTTATCATGTGTATAATAGGTGGTCTGAAAGCAGTGTTCCTGGAGGACACATCCAGCTATAATCTAATATATTGTGACTTTGTGATACAGATCCAAGAAGAAAGATTGAAAACTAAAACCTCAATGACCAAATACCTACTGCAGATCCTAAGAAAAAGTAAATAGCCTCTTCCCATTTTAATATATTTCACACTTTCTGTCTTTGAAAAGCAGTTTCCATCTGCCTGGCTTTATGCAGTTATATATGATTCACGTTCACTGTGCCTGCTGCCTGCCTTGTGTAAATGTTGGTATTTAGTAAGACCTAATGTCTTTACTGAGCTTTTCATCTTTCAGGCACAGTGAAAGCATGTGCCTCTTAATACTCACAGCATCTTGGTGCCAGGAAAATCCTATTGTTGTTATTATTAAGCATTTCAGTGATATTGCATAGTTGCTGAGTGTTTTATGATTCTTGATGGATTAGATTCTCCAATCCCCAGATAAAAATTCGATGTACTGATGGCAAAACTATGGCTCACAGAGACCAAATGATTTGGCAGAATATCCTTTTTCTTTTCAGCCTCACTTTTTCTACAGTATATTTACAGAGTGCAAGTGCATCCCTGTACCAGTTAACTATCCTCTCTTCCTCCTTCCCCCGCATCCTTTCCAGACTCTAGTAACCACTATTATATTCTCTGCATTTTTGAGATCAACTTTTTAGTTTCCACATGTAAATGAGAACATGCGTTACTTGTTTTTATGTGCCTGACTTATTCACTTAACATAATGTCCCCACTTCTGTCCACCTTGCCTCAAGTGATGGAATTTCTCTTTGTGGCTAAATAATATTCCATTGTATATAAATACCACATGTTCTGTATCCATTCCTCTGTTGATAGACACAAAGTTGATTCTTGTGAATAGTGCTGCAGTGAGCATGTAAGTACGATATCTTTTCAACATACTGATTGCAGTTCCTTTGGATATATACCTAGTTGTTGGATTGCCATATCATATGGTAGTTCTGTTTTAGTTTTTTTGAAGAACCTCCCCACAGTCTCCATAATGGCTATACTAATGTACATTCCCAGCAGCAGTATATAAGAGTTCTCCTTTCTCTGCATCTTTACCAGCATTTGTTGTATTTTTGTTTTGTTTTTACTGTTGAGTTCCACATGTATTCTGGAATTAATCTCTTTTTCGATGAAGAGTTTGAAAATATTTCCATTCTGTAGGTTGTCCCTTCACCCTTGTGTTTCCTTTGCTGTTACCCAGGATTTTTAGTTTGATATAATTCCATTTTCCAGTTTTTGTGATTTATCCTAGCATGTTGGTTGGATATGCTACATTGACTTTCATTCCAGGTGGGTGCTTTAATGTTGTGTCCATGTATCTTCTTAAGGAGTAATCAAAGTTAGCCATGTCTACAGATGTCTCTTTGGCCTTGGCCGCAGGCATTTGGGATTGCACTGCTAGCTAGGATGCATCTCTCTATGGTGGTACATGTTCATTGGAACGTCTGGGTGCAGTGCACCTGGTTGCAGGTGCAGAAACCTGTCATTTTCCACGGGTCATGTGGAGGCAAGGCCACTCCAGTGGGTCCAGTGGGCCCAGTGGGGCAGAGTGCTAGTCTGAGGGCTGCATAGGCACTGGAGCATACTAGTGGGCTCAGACCAAGTACCTGTCAGTATCCAAGGGGCCTCACAGGTGACTTTGCAGGGCCTTGTTAGGCCAGCCTGCTCTGAGGGCTTTCCAGTTGTTTCCCAGGACCAAGGGGAAAGGGCAGGATCTCTTGTATGGTTCTCAGTACCTTAACAGGCCAAGCTTCTGGTAGCAGTTTGTTGAGCTGCTTCTTGGGGCTGCAGAAGGATGGGTAGGGCTTCCCATCAGCTTCCTGGGGTGCCTCAGTGAGCCAAGCCAGTCAGAGAAGACTGCTCAGATGCTTTCCCCTGCCCACCCCAGCTTCTAGATGGGCAGGGCTACCTGTATGCTTCCCAAGACCTCTAGGCTGAGCCATTCAAGGTGGGCTCCCCAGCTACTTTCTGGGACTAAGGATGAGTGAGTGGGGCACTTAGCTGGTTCAAAAAGCAAGGTCAGCCAGGTTTCTGGGGACAGCTGCCTGGCTGCTCCACAGGACCCTGGGTAGAAAGGTTTCAAAATGTTGCTGTGCAGCAGGAGCCTAGGTAGGGGCTGGGTAAGAGCACAATGACGGGGGCTGGGCTCTTTTTCTCTAGGATAGTGCACTTGCGTGGTAAGCTAGCAACTTCCCAAACTCAGCTTCGGGCCTCTGAGGGCTACAGGCTTCTCCAAGAGCAAATGTCTCAGATGGCCATGGCATGAGTGAAGATTGCTTAGAACCTCCTGCTTATTACCCTTTCCCTGTCAAGCATAGTCCCTCATAATTTAGAGTTGGTCTAGAGAAGGAATGGTAGATGTCATGTGCTTAAAGACCATTGTATATCACTGTGCTCTGTAAGGTCTCTGCCATATCTCTGCTGTATTCTAGCACTTCACTGAAGTGTTTGAGACACTTCCTTTATTATGGAGAGAAGTGTGCCAGGCACCTCTAGCAAGCCATCTTAATTACCCATAAATCTTCTTCCTTGAATTCTAAAGCATTGCCTGTTCTGATTTTTGTCCTACCTCTCTCTTCTTTAATGTCCTCCCCACCCCCCACAGCTGCAGAACACTTACCAGATCGCAGGTAGTAAGTACTGATGTAGACAGTTGGAATTGGTTCATCAGCCCTAACAGTGATAAGCCATTATATCTGGAATTCTTTTGTCCTTTTCCTTTATGGTGGCCAGATGACTACCAAGAGCCCTGCCTATCATATCCAAGCTCAAGGCAGGAAGAAGAGGTGAGGGGTTTGTCTTCAGCCACATCCATCACCTTTTAATAGGAGAGAGAAAGTTTTCTTGAAAACCTCTTTGGACTTGTGTTTACATCTTAATGTCAAACACTAACTGCAGAGGACGTCTTAAAAGTAAATATTTAACAAGACACATGCTATCTCAAGCAAAATGAGGGTTTTGTCAAGAAGGAAGAAAAAGGTGGATTTGTATAAGCAACCCATATGTCTGGTACAGTCTCCTCTATACATTGCTTCTTTCCTGATTCTAATGCCCAGCACAGTATTTACTCTATAAAAGACACTTAATAAATATTGGATAAATGAATGAATTAGATAAAACACAAGAGTCAGAGTCAGCCACCTGGCTGCTTTTCCACAGTCCTTCATTTCAATCCTGAGACTACTACACCCAGGAGCTTTAAAGCAAGAAAGCTATGATAGGAAGCTTTCTCCTCCAACCCCACAACTTCCACTCCTTGTAAAACTCGATGCCTGATGATTAATTAGGCCTGAAGGCATTACTGTTCTGAAGACTGTCATGATGTCCCTGGAAAATCTATACTACACCATGTGTTTTTACAGGGAAACTGATATTGCTGTAGAGAAAGGATTTGGAGCAAAGTATGCTTCCTCTCCTCTTGGTCTTAAGCAGTTTGGTTTGGTCCCAAATTCTTATATCCTACTCAACAAAATAATAGTTTCTAGTGAACCCTCCACCTTTCCTTAGGAGGGACTTTGAGAATATTTGAGAATTCTGTCATCCCTCTACAGACCAGGTTTTCCTTCCAAATGGTGGACTGTCCTCCCCAAGAAAAGTTTCATTAGATGCACTTATGCTCAGTGCTTCATGTTTCCAGTAAAATTTTAGTTGTTCTTCTTGGTGGGTTTCATGGGCAGCCCTTCATCTGGCTGTAGTTGAAAACTACTCAGCAAGGACAAGCCCTTCATAAACACTAATTTCCATCTTCTGGTCCCTTTGCTGACCTGATTCTGCATTTGTTGCCCAGCTCCCTTCCCAGATGATGTCGCCACTAAAATAGGAGAGAACTGTGGAGTGCAGGATTGTCCAGAAGTAACGAAGATAAGCAGGAGACAGTGGACAGCACTTTGCTTCAGGCTCAGGCAGCTTTCATCAGAGTTTTCTGGGATTCTAGTTGATGGCTCCCACAACTGATGAAGTAATAACAGTTTATGGTTTATTCTTTATAGTAGCTTAAGAAACTATTGCAGTTGGCCTCCTTGGAAGGAGGGGAAAATGTTGGAAATTAGCAGCTATGTGACAGAATCATCATTGGACTAGAGAGAGCAGTACCCTGTTGTGGCAGTTAGCTGTCATTCTAGATTCTGGTCAACAGGGTTATTCTCCCTTTTTCATTTTCAGATTCTCCCTCCAATCTGAAGATGCCCCTCTTCCCATTCACCTTCTGCCTATCTTCTTCCTTCCCCCTTTCATATCCTCCACATCCCTCCAAAAAGAAGGCTGATCGTAAGTCTCTATGGAGAGAAGCTCTCCGAAGTGGGCATATTGCTTTATTGGCAGTAATTTGAATTGTTGGCCAGGGCATAGGAGCCACCAAAAGCAGCAGTATCCTGAAAATCCCACTCAGAAAAGCTAAACACTGTAGGAAAGAACGGAAACACTGTAGGACCTCAGGTGCATGGGGCAGAAAGATATGCAACAGGGCCAGGTCCTACCAGCCATTATATCAGATAGTATAGACTTAATGTTTTTCATGAATTTGATTCATTTGACAATTTATAAGTTTATTTAAGCATTTAAAATCTATTATTTGATTTCACTTTTTTACTATTTTATGAATTTTGAATATTTTTAAAAATTCTGGTATAAAAACACTAAAATTTCATTTTGGGGTAAAAGAAATGCTGTAACAAATGTGTAAATACTACTACTGAAATTCTTCAGCCTAACTTGAAGATGAACAATGCTAGGTAGTCTACCTGTCCTCCTCTTCTGGAATCTCATGGAAGCCCCATTAAGAATGGCTTGTAGTTAGGAGTAGTGGCACAGGTCCATAATCCCAGTGACTCAGGAAGGGAAGCAGGAGGTTCAGCCTGGACAACTTAGTGAGACCCTATTTCAATATAAAAAGTAAAAAGGACTAGAGATATATCTAAGTTTTAAAATACCCCAGGTTTCAATCCCTAGTACCACCACCCCCCCAAAAAAAAACAAACAAAAAAAAAAAAAACTGATAGGTAGCTATTTTCTTATCTCTACCACTAGATGGTACTGGTGATCAAAATCTTCAAGTGGATGCTGATCTTCTGGAGCATAGGAGCACAAATCTTGTCAGAATAGCATTAACTGTAGGCTTCCTTTGTAAGGATCCTGGGAGTGGGAGAAAGGCATTCTGTATGTATGTTTTTTCTCTCTGCAAAGAGAGAATGTAGCCATACAGGAGGCACTCAAAGCCCCAAACTCCATATAACTTACTAAGTAGGAAATAAATTAACCTAAGCAAATCCCTTCACTTTCACATCTGTGAGATTGGGAGTTGGGTGGTAACAAGAGGGGGAAAGAAATCTGGTCAGAGTCCATATTCTAGTTCTTAAAGGAAATTTAAAACTTGATTCATTAAAATGAGAGTTGTCTATTTAATAATTTTTAAAAGCACTGCTTAAAATCACCTGCAAGCTTAAAACTGTCCTCACACTTATCATTCTTGAAGATGCTATAGCTAAAATCATAATTTCTTAGTCCACTTCCTGACAAGCTTATATTCCTCACCTCCAGTGTTTTGTAGATTTAGTCTTAGTTCATAGGGTTAAAACAACATGCTCAAGGTCGCTCAAGGTCACTCAACATACATGACAAAAATCAGGAAGCGAACTCAGATTTTCCTGCTACATAATACTTCCCCATCCATTGGATGCCTAGAACTGACAGTATGATCTAAAGTGAACTTGACATAAACAATGGTATCACAACTTAGAAGGATCCAATAAGATAAAAGTTTGGACAGAGTTAAAAAGGAGTTTATTTTTAAGATGTTCTTATTTGTCCAATAATTTATTTCAGAAGGTAATATAAGAGAATGGATCTGAAATTCCTGATAATGATTGCCTTGCTCCAATGTTGTCAGACTACTAAGGCCTCCTCTCTCATCACATTCCTGTGTCTCCTCAGCTTGTTGCCTTTGAGCTCCTTTTCCAGCTGGCCATTAGGGCATATTGTGGCAGAGAAGACACCTAATCTGCTTTATCTAGTGAAGTAAAACAAAGGGGAGGGGGTGATAACTCCATTTGCAGGCCCCCATACCTGTCTAATAGTTTTATAGATAATTATCAGTCTTTCTGTTTCAGAGATCTGAATATGGTGAATCATGCCCCCAGCAATTTGAGGCATTGGCCTACACCCTCCTTCCTAGCCCCGACCTCATGCTCGGTTGCTTTGTGATTCTAGAAAAATAACTGTGTGATGCCTGAGGATCTAAAGAACTTTTACCTAATGACCAATGGCTTCCATATGACATGGAGTGTGAAACTGGATGGTAAGTCATCCTCCTTGCTGTTGGGGAACATTGCCCTGGTGGAGAGGTTGGGTGGGACAGCTCCGGGCACTCACAACTTATGAGTCTTTCAATCTACACAGTTTTTCTGGGTTTTTGAGTACCACATTCAGAAGCTGTGATTTTTCTCCTAAAGCTAACAGATATCTAGTGCTTTACCTACTTCTACCCTGTTCCAGTGTCTAGCTGGTACTGGTCTCCGAGCTTAATTTAGAGGCTTCCTATAAATAGGGTTGGAATAGAATGGAAGAAAACATTAATTATTACACAAAAAACTAGAACTGCTAGCCTCACTTCAGAGCAGACTTCTCAGAGTAACCTGCAGGAAAGACCCATGGTCCCTGGGAGCAGGTGTCCCTCTCTTTCAGACTCTTCCTTTATTCATACCATTGTGAAGACTTCAGTGCTCTAACCCTCAAATCAGAACCTTACCTTCTCTTCCTGTACCACCTCAGCCTCAGTCACCATCTGCCTCAGTTTGTAGGATGTCATCTTGCTTTAAATGTGTCTAGACTAACACATTTGCATAATGGGTGTAGGGACTCTCAACTTCATACATGTCAGAGCTTGCAGCTATTGCACATTTAGATGAGGACTTAAAGAAGTTCATAAGCTAGGAAATTCTGATTTAGCTGCCGGAGTCCAGCCCATTCCTGACACAGACTTGCCAGTCCTCATCCCTGTTAGCTTTTATTGCCTCCCACTCCAGCAACATCCCCATCCCCATATTTGCTTAGATCTTAGGAAGTACCCTAAACCTCCCCATTGCTGACCCAAAGGAGGAGAGACTTCTGCTTCACAGAATTGACTTTTCTTTCCTGCCTCCACCTCCTGCCCACATATCTGAATTACCTTTTTTTGGTGACTCCTGAAGCCTTTATGACTGTCTCCCATAGCTGACCAGAGAAACAGAATTCTAATAGCTTACTAGTGAACATTTAACTTTAGTTTTTACTTCGAATTGTTTTTTCAATGGCCTAAAAGTTATCTGTCACCAGCAGTACGTTCCCTTATACCATGGCCATGGCCTTTGGGATCTGGAGCAATAGACAGGAGACAGAGACTAGATTGACTGACAGACACTCCCTGCCCACATTATGAGGGCAGGTTAGTTCCCTCACAAGCCTGCCTCAGAGAAGAGATATTACATGACTATTTTATAAATGAGTCTCTGGTCATATTGCAATATTTTCTGTAACTTGATCTTCCTAGTCCTGGTCTTTTTATCATGATTACTGTACCCATTCTTTACTGAATAGCTTACATTGTTAACAGAAAAGACAGTAAAGGCAGCTTCTCTTCTCCTCAAACAGTCCATGGTCTATACCAGCTGTTTTATTGCTTTCAACCATTCCAGTTTTTCTAGAAGTCAGATTTGTAAGTCTGTGTGCCACCTTGTGTCGAGGATTCTATACAATAGATAAGGAAAATATGCAGTCTTCCTGTTCCTTATTTATACCCTAATCACAGAAGGCTAGAACCAAGTGAGAAGGGCTGCCACTTCTCTCCATTGGGTAAGGGAAAATGATGAGAGATATTTTCCATCATGAAAATATCTTATAATAAGAGAAAAGCTTATAATAAGAGAAAAGTCCAGTATATAATCAAAAGCTGTTTCTCCTTTATAAAGTATAATTGTTTATGCAGCATATTGGTTAAACTAGGGCAAGAGAGAGTGGAAATATTTTTTAAGTCATTTACTCTTCAAATGAGGTTCCTAAGTTCATATTTTCTAGCTCTTCTTGAGTATCCCTTTCTAAACTTTTTCTGTAGCCATACCCTAATGTAGTAGGGACTGTTCATTGCCTGTGGCCCCTGATTCCATGTTTTGTTTTGCATGAAAGGCCGGTGCTTAGGGCCATGTGGTGACTGATCCTCTTCTTCCTACCTTTCATCAAATGCCTCAGTCGTGTGACCAATAATAGCTGGGCTTATGATGACCATTGTAACTAGGCTGTCAACTTTTTGTCATTCTTTTTAATGTCTCCATAGAGCACATCATTCCATTGGGCAGCATGACAATTAATAGCATCTCAAAACTGACTCAGCTCAACCAGTCTTCCATGTATTCACTTCCTAATGCACCAACTCTGGCAGACCTGGAGGATGATACATACGAAGGTATCTGGAGGAAATTCTGCTTTGGGTTAGAAATGAACCTGCTTGCTTCCCTTTTATAATATTGAGGACCATGGGAAGAGGTTGTGGCACTGTATTATATTCCACTAAACCAAAACCCTTCCCACTCATAGCTCCTTAGAACCATGGGAATAAGGTTAAAACAGCAGCAGCAGCAACAGCCTATACCAACAAAGAAAATTTTAATGAAGCAAATCAAGGTTGGCATCTTTGTTTTGTTTCCTCATGGTTCAGTACCAAGTACACAGTAAGCACTTAATGAGTACATGCTGAGTGAGTGAATAAATGTTATAAATTAAGCTTCACCTAGTACTTAAGTATCAGGGGGTTTCAGGGAATATGACAGTCTAAATACAGCCCCTTTCCTCTCCATTCCTACCTTTAAAGCTCTTTTTTACTTCTAAGTGTAATGGCTCATAGGGTTATTAGCTGCTAAAGCCTCAAGTTAGGGCTTCTTCTATCAGAATTATTTAGCTGCTTATAACAGATACCCAGTTACAGTAACTAAACTAAATAGTGGTTAATTTCTCTCATGAAATCTGGAACTAGGTTAAAGTTGCTGCTTGAGAATGTGAAAGTTTCCCTCTCACTTCCTGCAGCACCAGCCTTTGGTATGGTTTTCATCCTCATGGTTGAGTATTGTGGGCTCTACCTCCCAGTTCAAGTCTGTGTTTCTGACAGGAAGAGGATGGGTAAAAAAAAAACAAAGAACAATGGCCAAAAAAAAGCCCTTGGCAAATCTCTCCTCACTTTATCTGGAAAACAGTTTTTCTCAGAAGTCTCTCCCAATAGCCATTGGTCAGAACAGAGTCAAAAAGCCACCCATAGTCTGACAACTAGACCTGAAGAAGTCTTGGGAGATATTTTTATTTGTGCAATATTACCTCCTCAAGCAGAATTGGGGTTTACGAAAGAAAAGAAGAATGGATAGTGAGTAGACAGCTAGCGTCTAGGTCTTGGGGGTTTATTTAAGCTCTGGCAGAGGGAACTGATGTAAGGCTTTCTCCCTCCACTGGACAAACAAATGGAGAACAGTGCGACAGGAGTCCAGAGACAAAAATTGGAAAGTGATGAGTCCAAGAAAAAGCCTGTCACTCAAAACTATGGAATCCCCAGCAGTAAGAAAAGTTCACATTGGTTTAATAAGTGTATGATAGGGTTTCTCTAAAAGGCAAAGAAGTAGTTACACAGACTAGGTCTTTCCTGCCCGTGAGTCTGGAACAAAAGGAGTACTCTGTAGAGGGGCCTCAAGATAAGTACTGAGCCAGGGGTAGGGACCATATTGCTCCTATATACTTACAGGTATAAAGACCACTTGGCCTTCTGGCACCTGCTGGGCTCATGCTTTCTGCAATAGTCTAACAACTAGATCTAAGTCTCATTAAAATGTAAACAGAAAAATACTGACTTTTCTCAGGGTACTCAGCAGACAATCAGAAGACATCAGAAGAAATGTTAGAATATACAACCAGAGAACTAAAACTGCTAGAGCACACAGATGAAAATCTAAACAAAAATAAGCACAAGAACATTTGAAATTTTTAAGACAGCCCAGAGACATCCTATAGATAAAAAAATTACAAAGATTTTCAAACAATTGACTAAATGAAATGACGAAAATACAAATATTATTGACACCTGAGTTAGACAGAAAAATTATGTGCGATGAATATTATAGAACATAGGTAAGTAAATTTTAGAGAAGTGAATTTTAAGAAAAAAAAGTAGGAGAGTATGAGAAGTAGAAAATAAATCCAGACACCTTTCATTGCAATTATAGGTGCCAAAGAAAGAAGACATGGAAAGGCAATAAATAAATACTAACAAAAGAAAATTTCTCTGCAGATTGGAAAAACTCAACCTAATCCTAAATCAGAACAATAAAAAGCCCCAAACATCTAAGCATATCCTGATAAGGAAAAAATGACAAGCTTTTAGTCAAAAAGAATAAATTGTGGGCTGGAGTTATAGCTCAGCAGTAGAGAGCTTGCCTCACACATGTGAGGCACTGGATTTGATCCTCAGCACCAGATAAAAATAAATAAAATATTGTGTTCATCTTTTAAAAATAAAGAAAAGAAGAAGAAATTGTACAGGAGTAGTAATCAGACATCAGTGGAAATATCAGTGGGAATTAGAAGATGGTGAAAAAACATTTCTAGGTTACCAAGAGAAAAAGGAGTGAAAATCAAGAGTCCTATGTTCACAGACTAAATATACCTCTGGTTATAAGAAGGAAGTTGTAAGGGCTCAAAATGTGTTGCATAAGAACTCTTGAGTATAGTGCAAAGAATATTCTAAAAAGTGCTATCCCATTTCAGTTTAATTCAAATGTGAGGAGAGAGGACAGTTAAAGTATTCTAGGTTAAATCCTATTCTGCCCCCTTTCCCCACCCCCCAAAAAGGATATATTTAAGTCCTAAATCTCAGTACCTTAGAATATGACCTTATTTCCAAATTGCAGACTTAATTAAAAGATGTGATCATACTGGAATAGGGTGAGCTTTATAAAAAGAAAATTTGGACACAAGCATATATTGGATGAATGCCATTTGAAGATGATGGCAGAGGTAGGGGCAATTCCTCTACAAGAAGTCCAAAAATTTCCAGTAAACAGCCAAAGGCTAGGAGAGAGGTATGGAAGAGATTCTTCTCCACAGTCCTCAGAGGAATATTCTTTGGACACTTTGATTTCAGACCATAAATTTCTGTTAAGCCACTTAGGGCTATTGTAACAAAGTACCAAAATGTCAAATTAAAACAGTGGTTTCAGTGGTCCTCATAATGGATAACTGAGAGAAAAGGGAAGGGGTAACAAATGAAAGATCTTATTTTACTTTAGGAAAGAAGTACAACAACAACTTGCTGGAGAAAACAGCTTTGGTGTGCCAGTTTTCTATTCCTGTATAACGGATTGCTACAAATCTAATAGCTTAAAACTACACAAATTTATTATCAGTTTTATTTATTTATTAGAAGTTTCTATGAATCAAGAATAAAACTGCAGGTCAGCTGGGTCCTCTTAAGGAGCTGACAGCTGGCCAAGCAGAGAATGCAGCTATCTGAAGCTGAACCCTAGTGACTGAAATAATGTTGGCTGAGACTGATCTCATTGGAGGCACTGGGGTCTCTTCCAGGCTCACTGTGGTTGACTGCTTTTAGTTTCTTGCAATGTGGGACTTAAGTTCCTATTTTAATCCTGACTTTCAGCCAGGGTTCACTCCAAGCAAGTTAAGGCTGCCCTCAGATATAAGCCATATGTCCCTTTCCACATCATGGCAGCTTTTAAGCCAGCAGGAAAATTTCTTCCCAGTGTGCTGTGAACTTTCTTAATGTAGCCCAATCCAGGGAATGACTGCCCATCATATCCACAGGTCCTAAACCACCCTCAGAGGAAAGGATTATGTGAGATGTATATACCAGGAGGCAGTAATCTTGGGGATCATCTTAGAATTTTGTATATCCCATTTGGTTAGAGAAATGATGGTATATTGTTTTCAAATAAAGATAGTCATGGATCTAATTATCAAAAAACAAAGGTAATCAGGTCTCAACCTAAAATACAGACAGATGGCTCTTGGAAAAATCACATTTATTTGGGAATGAGTAATGGGGAATTCCAATGTAGGATGCAGAGGCTGTGAAAAGCCGTAAGTGCGCCCAGAGGGGCTGAGGTAAGGGCAGGCTTTTAAAGACCCAAAGGAGAAGTTTACCTGAAATAAGGTTCTTTGGTATCTGGTCATTATAGCAGTTGGTTTTAGCCCATTGGTGGAGACAGCCATTGCTAGGCAGTTGTCTTATCTGAATTTCAGCAGTCTTGAATATTTTCTTGAAATAAACCTTGATAATAGAAAATAAGTGTACAGAGAGCAAAGTATATGAGTTTGAGCTGCATCTAGGATGCGAAGGAATTCCTGATGGGCTTTAGGAAGTCCTTGTGATAGTTCTATTTCTGACACACAAGCATGAGTGAGGCCCACACTCTTTCAAGACCTGCTGGCTCTATTTTGTCTGGGGTAGATAAGAATAAACTCATCATCTCAGTATTTTGAGACAGGATCTTGCTAAGTTGGCCATGTTGGCCTCAAACATGTCATCCTCCTAATGTGATTATAGAGTTGTGCCACTACGTCCCACTAAAATTTCCAGTCTAATAAGGGAAATGTTGAATGACAGGAGTTTAAAAAAGAAGAAGAAGAAAAGAAAAGGAAGTGACTTAATAATTAAGATATATAACATTAAGATGAGAGGAATAAATCAATCATTACATAAATTTTATGGGATTGAATCTTTTTTGAAAGATAGAGACTACTAAATTGATTAAAAAAAAAAAAAAAGCAAAAGCAAAACTTACCTGTATATTATCTTCCAGAAACATTTTTAAACTGATGAAGAGACTTCCTTTTCTGGTAATGGCAGATTATTCAGAGCAGCCTTCCTGCTGAAGACTTAAAAGCAGGAAAAATTTAACAATTGTTTTCCTAAAAGCATGAAAGAGCTAACAATATGCTAAGGTATGGTATCAGATCAACATCCAGAAGAACACAGAAATCCAGGGGAGATGATTGTGGAGTTGCTTTTGTCTAAGGTACACTGTCCTCTTCAAAGGAGGAAGAAAGGCTGCTGAAAAGCTGGGAATTTGACTCATTTATGAGCAAGGGGAATAAAATGGATTCTAGGGCCCGGAAAAGATGGGACCATGCTCTTTGTAAAGGAGTAGTGAAAACCTGAACCCTAGGAGCAAGGATGAACCAGAAGTAACTGTTACTCACATGGACTGAAGCTCGGTGTGAGTCATTTATGTGATCCAGAAAGTGTTAAATCCCAAAACTGAGCATAGTTAATCCAAGGTTATTAATCTCAGAGAATGGCAGATGCAAATAAAAATTCACTCTAGAGAAATGTCCCAAAATTGTAATAATGGTAATGATTGCACAACTTTGTAAATATACTAAAAGACCACTGAATTGTACAATTTAAATGAGTGAATGCTAAAATAGGTGAAATATATCGCAAAAAAAAATCTTTTTAATTTTTTAGTTGTAGATAGACACAATACTTTTATTTATTTATTTTTATGTGGTGCTGAGGATCGAACCCAGGGCCTTACACATGCGAGACAAGCGCTCTACCACTGAGCCATAACCCCAGCCCCAAAAAACCCTTTTATATAAAGGGAAAAATCCACCCTAGAGGGAGTAACATTATCCTAGGCCTCAAATTGTTTTTGTAAATAACTTTTCAAAAAAATAGTTTCTACTAAAAATATAACTAGATACAAAACCCTGCTACAAGAACCATTACAAATTACAGGTCCCATTAAGAGATCCACCAGTATTCCCAGGTATAGACCACACAACAAGATGCTAATGCATACATGGAGTTAAAACCAAACTAAAATTTAGGGGAGGAACTGAAACAGTGGTACTGCAGATTTGAGGTGGAGGGTGGGGATTCAAATGGTGACCTTATGCTCTAAGGTAATGGCAGATAATACTCTACAATCCAGAAGAACATTTAAAACAATTACCTGAAAGGTCTGGAGAATAGCCAAAATCAGGTAAAGACTGGAGTGTAAAACTACACTTAGCAGAAGGGAACCTCACTGCAGGAATTTGCTCTTTTTACAGCTTTTCACCTAAGGGCAGACTACCCCACCCCCACCCCCTGCCCCAACTTTTAGCATCATGCAGGGCTGCTAAAATTTTGGTGGAATCACCAGTCTAGACTTTTAATTTCATCCAAGCAGGAGTAACAGAGGCCAAATTTCTCTTTCCACCTGGCACAGCAGTTAAAGGAAGGCCTAGACAAAATATACAAAGTGTTTTTTAGGACATTGCCATTAGGCAACAAAGAACAGTGAGCTGTGAGCAATGGGAAACAATCATGGTGAGCCGTATAATTTCCCAAGTTTACTTCCTTGAGAGTTCCCAGTCCACAGGATAGAAAGAAGAACCCAGGCAGGGACCATTGTTCTCCCCAAGTTGAGATGACAAAGTTGTGAGCCCAGATAGATTAAGGCAGCTAGAGTTCATAGGACTGAGTAACAGAGAGCCGATTAAAGAGAGAATTCCAGAATTCTATGAGGGGTTCCCTTGAGTTTTCAGCAAAGAACTGATAGACACATGTGATGAAGAAACTGCCCAAGGCCAATGACAAAAACCGCTGAAAATAATTAGAGGGAACAATGTCTAGTCCTCATAAAGGACCAAGAAGACTAAGCAAGCTGAAATGCCTCATGATTCACAAAGCATTAAAGTACATGGAAGGGCTTGCCTTAGAAAGGGGAATAATTAGCTATAGATAAACACTACATTGATCCTGCCTGTCAAATCTAAGAGCAAAGCCCAAAGTATCTGTTTCCAAGTAACTATGTCTAAGAATAAAGCTCGAGAGTATTTATGGAAATATAAAAATCATTAGCACCCCACAATGTAAAATTAACACTTTTTGGCTCCTAATCAAAGATGATCAGGCATGCCAAAAAAAAAAATACAACTATAATAAGGAGGAAAGTGGGTTAATCAAAACCAACCCTAAATTGACACACATTTTAGAATTAGCATGTATAGATATTAAAAGTTATAACTTTATTCTGTATGTCTTTGAAAGTACAGATTAGAAACTGTGTATTCCAAGTTTAGCTTTTGGAGTTTAGGGTCTGAGATGAAAAATATATTGGACGAAATTAGCGGTGGCAAAAAGAAAAGATTGCAGAAGAATGGAGAACCCAGCAATAGGGACTATCCAAAGTAACAGAAAGGAAAAAAAGTTGTAAAAAGAGCATCCATGCACTGGGGAATAACAAATGGTATAGTATATGTGTGAAAGAAGGGGTTGGGGTCAGAAAATAATAATACTTGAAGATGTAATGACCCAAAGATTTGCCAATTTGATGGAATTATAAACTGATATATTCACTGAGCTCATTAGACCAGGAAAAAAGAAACATGAAATGATACCAAAAAACATCATAATTAAATTGCTCAAAATGAGGATGTATTAGTTTTTTGTTGCTGTGAATAAATTACTTGCTGAGAACAACTGAGAGGAGGAAAAGTTTATTTTGGCTCATGGTTTCATAGCTTCGGTCCATGGTTGGCATACTCCATTGCTCTGGGCCTGAAATGAAGTCGTAACATGGTGGCAAAAGAAAACGGCTCTTCTCCTGGCAGCCAGGAAGCAGAGAGAGGAGCCAGGGACAAGATACAGTCCTCAAGGGCACATCCCTAGTGACCTACTTCCTCCAGCATCACCTCGCCTAGCTATAGTTAACAGCCAGTAGTCCGTTCACATTATTAATTCATCAAATGGATTAATCAATTGATGAGGTTACAGCTCTCATCGTTTGGTCATTTCCTAAAAGCCTTTCTGAACCTTGCTACATTGGGGACCAGGCATTCAACATGAACTAGGGGAGATTCCAGAGCCAAACCATAACAAGGAATAAAAAATAAAATCTTAAAAGCAACCAGAAGAAAAAGCCAGATTACATACAAGGAGCAAAGGATATATGTCTACTTAGAAATAATTCAAGTGAGATAAAATACTCAAGAAAAAAATGTTAAAACTAGAATTCTGTACCTATTGCAAATGTCTTTCAAAAGCAAGGACCTTTTATGAAAAGCAATCTGACGATGTCCATTCTATTACAAGAAACCTACTTTGCATAAGGAAAACACCAGAACATGTGCAGTCATAATTATTTTAGAATTCATAGCAGATTGATGATAAGGTGAGTTCCTATCAATAGGAGAAATAGACTCCCACAAACCATCAAGCAGCCACTAAAGAATGAATCAGTTACTTAAAGGGTTTTCCATATGGTATTATTGTATAAAAAGCAAGATTCAGATAATGTGTATGATATCCTATTTTTACATAATAAACAGTCCCTGAAAAAAGAATAGAACAATGTCAACGTCAGGTCTTTCAATTTGTTCTGACTTTATGTGGTACCACTCCCAAGAAACTCAGGTCCTCCTGTTACCTTCCCCCAAATTCTCTGACAAAGTCTATGGGTAATGGGACAGCCCAGACAGAAGGCCTAATCCATCAATGAGATCAGGAATTTATGGAATTTTTTGGAAAATACTACTTAATAGTATGTTTGAGATGAGTTTGTTTGTTTGCAGCAAGTGAGGACCAGCCAGAGAAACCTCACTTTGACTCTCGCAATGTGATATTTGAGCTGGATTCATGCAGTGGGAATGGGAAGGTTTGCCTTGTTTACAAAAGTGGGAAGCCAGGTAAGAATCACAATGGGATGCTGTAGTCTTCTAGTCTGGGTGTGATCTTGCCTGACTACTTGTCAGCCATCACACAAAAGGCACATACCTCCCTGGCTTCTTGAAGTGCTTCTAGATTTTCTGTGTGGCAAGACTTAGAAAGCCCCTTTGGCCCTCTCTAGCACCCCCTGTAGGCTAATTTTTAGTCTTCTTTAGCCATCTTCATATGTGAATTACTACAAAACAGTCAACAGATAATAGGTGAGATAAACTAAAAGAAATAGCCCTTCTGTTTATAGACCCTTCACTGCAAGCTCATACATTTAGTAAACATACGGGAAACACATTATCTTTTTTTCATACTTCTGTATCTAGGCCAGTTAATAATAATAAAACCTGATTTATTAGACCTCAAAATTCCAGATGGGAAATCATGAGAAAGAGGGGCCAGTGGTGGATAGTGAGGCTCTGTGCCCTTGAGCATAACTGCTACCCCCTCCCCCCACCCAAAGGCAGTTGAGACCTTGAGACTGAAACTACAGAACTGGACAAGGGCAAGCCATCTTCAGTAGATGGGGGGAGAATGTACAGACACCAGGATTTACCTCTGGGGGAAGGAGAGATTATCTCCAACTTGAAGAATCTTTGCAAACAGATTTTGAGCTGCATCTTGAACTATAGTTGGAATTAGATACTGCAGGGAGTGGCAAAAACCATGTCATGGAATTGTTATTCCAAGTTGGTGCTCTACATGAACCATCTAGGGGATGTAGAGATGAAACCTGAAGGCTAACTGCTCTCTCTCATGCAGAGCTTGGAAAGCCAAGCAAAGAAATTGAGACATAACGTGGAAGACAGTGGTCTATCATTCTGGATTACTTAGACTGGAGAGATTCAAATGAAAATGTTTTATGACCATAAGCAGTTTTGAAAAAGAAAGAGACCAGATAATGTGGGCCTCTTAGAGAGATGTTATAGCTGTATAGACAACAGATGAACCAGTGAGCTAATAAGATTGAAAGGTCAGAAACAGGTGTAAGGCAGGAGCTGGTATGATAATGCCTCTGTCACCCAGAACATCAGAGACTATTATAGTAGTTTTTCACAGCATTTCTGGCTCCCGAGAAAGACCTCCAAAAAAGCCTGAGCCACTCATTTGCCTCCATCAGGAAAGTTGAGACCACAGTGTGTGCCCAGCAGATAGAAAGAGGCTGATCAAGAATTTGTAAAAACGGCCACTGGAGAATGTGACTAGGAGGTTGGAAAAGGAGAAAACGGAATTTTTACCTTATTTTATATCCTTTACTATTGAATATTTTTAAATCGTGAGTATATATTGACTAATTTATGGTTACAAGGAAATAAGTGTTTACTTACTTCCTTTGTCTACTATTTTAGCATCAGCCCAAGACACTGAGATCTGGTTTCTGGACAGAGCATTATACTGGCATTTTCTCACAGATACCTTTACTGCCTATTATCGCCTGCTTATCACCCACCTGGGCCTGCCCCAGTGGCAGTATGCCTTCACCAGTTATGGTATTAGCCCACAAGCCAAGGTAAGGACTGGGAGGGGGAACACCTGTCATCTCAGAGTATGATGTGTATCAGAAACTTCTGAGGAAATGATTATATTGCAGATTCTCAACTTCCCCATTTAAGCGGTCTGGGGTAGAACCCAGGAAACGTGTTTTTAAAGCAAGGCGTCTGATTACAGTGTTAAGTAGACAGTGTCACATAATATTGATCTAGTCAAGTGACTCCCAACATAGCTGACCCTCAGAATTACCTGGGATGTTTCCATCTTTGATTGTTACTAGGGGCTTACATCTAATTGATTGTTTTGGATTGGCAAATATATGTACTCAAAAGAGTGCAAAGTAAATCTCTTTTTCCTATTCTCCCAGTGTACTTCTACAGAGGCAGCCATGGATACCAGTTTATGTACGGTTCCAGAGATACGCATTGCATATAACACATGCAAGCATATGATTTTTGGTTCCTTTTTGCTAAATCACAAGTATAATGTACTATTCACATTGTTCTTTTCACTAAACAGTCCATCATCAGTTGAGGTAGAGCTGCCTTGTCCTAATGACTATTGAGTGTTCCGTCAAATGGATTGACTCATTTATACTACACATTTGGGCACCATTTCAAACATACAGATGACAAGTAATACTGATACAATCCCTGGTTTGAAAACACCCAGTGTGGCAAGAACAACTATTGACTAGAATGAGCTGGTCTGGGCTCCTTGATGGTAGTTTCTCACAGCACTAAATTAGCAGGAAATTAGGGACTCATCTCTGGCACTATATTACTATGTTTATTGAGAAAGCTTCATTTTCCTCAAATATCCCATACTGACACCTTCCATCAGGTAAACATTGTGAGTTGGTTGTGATCAAAGAAAAGTCAATAAATGAGAATGCCCTTTGCCCTCAGCAGCTTAGAAAGCCAGTAAGGAAGAGAGCACTAACACATCTTCCATCAGGAAGGCTGCACCAGCCTCTTGTCATACTTCCCCTGGGGGAATGGTGCTGGTGGGGAATGCTACTTCAAGGGCAGGTGGAAGGACACTGGTCCCTAGATCAAGAAGAAAACAGCATACTCAAGGTCTTAATTTTCATACTACATTTATTTAGAGGTTATTAGGGATGCCTCATAAAGCAGCATTGTGTCTGGCCAAGTTTTCACTTTGCATAAATAAAGATCTAATAGATTATTCAAGGCAGTTTTTCATATCTTATCTGAAATGCTTGGGACCAGACATGTGCTCAATTTGGCATTTTTTTGGATTTAGATTTGTGCATGGATTTTACCAATTGATACGAGTTTCAGATTTTGTACTCTTGTGTCCTCAGCTTTCAAACCCTATGCCCCCACTAAAGAGCACAAAGAATAGCATTGTTCCTTTGGATTGTGACCCTCTCTCCCAATTCTGCCTTCTAGCAATGGTTCAGCATGTATAAACCTATCACCTACAACACAGATCTGCTCACGGAAGAGACCGACTCCTTTGTGAACAAGTTGGATCCTAGCAAAGTGTTTAAGAGCAAGAACAAGCCCTTAATTCCAAAAAAGAAAGCGGCTGTGCAGCCTGCAGGTGGCCAGAAAGGGCCCTCGGGTCCTACTACCTCTAAACCCTCCTCTGGACCTGGAAACCCTGTCCGGAAGTGAGCACCCCCACTATCGGCTCTCCACCAGCCCCACAGCAGTGATTTCCATGCACTCATGGGCCCAACCTCAGATTTTGCATGTAACTGTAGGCATCTTCCCAAGTAACCAAAATTTCAGCCATTTTATCCACCCCCTGCCCTCCAACATTAGCCAGGGGTTGGAAGGGCATCCTGAGTTTTTATCCCCAAGAGTTCTTCACAGTGGGTTTTTCCAGTTCCTGCCTCCAAAAGCTGTGAATTTAAGTTCTTTAAGGGACCAGAGAGGTCTATTGAGCTTTCCTTTCTATCTGTACCCAACCCTCAATCTCTTAGCTAGAAAAGTCCTCCAAAAAACCCCTGGTTTTGACCCTTGAAGCATTAGAACTGCACTGTTCAAACAGTAGCAACTAGTCACATGTGGCATAAAAACTTAAATTATATGAAAAATTCATAACCTCAGTAGCATTAGTCACATTTCAAGTATTCACATGGCTACTAGACTAAATATTGGACAGTAGAAAGATATGGAACATATTCTTTGCAGAAAGTTGTTTTATATATAATTGTTTTAAGTTGTCAGTGGATCTTTATTTATTTATATGTGGTGCTGAGGATCGAACCTAGGGCCTCACACATGCCAGGCAAGTGCTCTACCACTGAGCCACAACTCCAGCCCTGCAGAAAGTTGTTTTGGACAGCACTGCAGTAGAATATTTTCATACTCAGATTAGTTAATTTCTTTTGTTGATGATACCCAAACTTAATGGGTTGCAGTGTTTCATAAAAACTTTAGAAGATTCAATTGTATGTTCTTAATGAATACATTTCACTCTGTTCATTTTCCTTTAGTTTCTTAAAGTTTGCTTTCTATTTTGTGATGTTTACACATTTGCCAAAAATTTGAGATGTATTTCTGTACTTTAGTCTAACCCTTTAAAAGTAAAAACACCCAGGCATCATGTTGGAAAACTCTTCATAGAGTTTTAATGAAACTAGTTAATATTAACAGCAGCTTTCTACCTGCTGTGACTTGTCTAGTCCCACCCTGGTTTGTCATTGGCCATACTTAGGATGGGAAAGCCTTTATAATATGATGGAATTCCAAGATTCCTTTGCAAGTTTCCTGTAATTCAGAAATCATTTTCCCCATAGACACGTAGGAGTATTAGACCTCTAGCCAGCCCACATGTGCCTAATATTTGACACAAGATAAACCTGAATTTACCTACTATGTACATCTAATGGAATTTCTACAGCGTTGTTCAGGCTTTCAATTAAGAATGTTTTCTAACTTTGCAGCCCTGACAGTGGGCACAAGCAAACCTTCACTCCACTTCTCAGCAGGGAAATCCTATCATCCACCCAGCCTCAGGATCCTTGAGTGACTGTAGTTTTTTCCCTGAAATTCCAAAGGTTGGAAAATGTCATTGCTGAATAGTGAGAGGCAGGACCTTCTACATCTGTACACTTCAGTCCTGACTGGCTCACTCATTCTTCCCTGACTTTTCTTCCATGATTGCCTAGACTCTCTTCTTTGCAGACCTCAATCTGCTAATCAGTCCAGGGCTTTGCTCTTCCATGGCCCACCAGGGAGCTTAAAGAAGTCCCCACAATTGCTCACCTGCACTTCTGACACCACTTTGAGTATTTATGAAGTTTTAAATTTTTGTTTTGATTGCTGATTATAGTGATAGATATGAAAAAGAGGCTTTCAATCCCCCTCCATCTACTACTTCACACAGCCCCTGAGGAAAACAAGGTAAAGAGTTGGCCTTCAAGGATCATGGGTGCTTCACCACTGTTGTAATGGTTCTAAGTCTTGAAATACTAGTGTTCAAAAGTCTTTGGGAGAGCTAGAGACATGGCTCAGTGGTAGAGCACTTTCACAGCATGCACAAGGCCCTAGGCTCCATCCCCAACACTGCCCCCCCAAAAGAAAATACACATTAACAGCATATTCAGTTGCTTTAAATATGCCAGCATGACAGCTATTCTGGCTAACTTCTAATGGAAAATGTTTAAAATAACAGCACCTCTGGCCTTTGCAGTTCCATAGCTAACCATTTATATAATTCAGCGTGGACATTCAAATGTTTTTGTGTTTTTTTAACAAGTACATGCCTGTGTCAAATTTTCCCTAATTTAAGTGTTTTACCCCTTTTAAATTAATTGTTTAGGTTATTACATTTTGAGCATTTATAAATGTGCAGCAATTCAAGGGAGGTCCAATAGCACCAGTCCAGCATTTGACTGCTTCTTCAAGACAAGGTTAGAAAGAAAATGAGAAGGCATGTCATTCTTCATTGCCACAGATGTCCTTCCTATAGTACCCAAGGAGCCCATTGGAGGACCAGTTCAGTTTTGGTCCAGTTCTAGATTCCATAAGTGAAACAACAGAAGAACCAGGAGAGCAATAGTGCCCTTCAAACCAGTGGCAATCAATGGGAGTCTTCCAAAGACTGTAGAAGGAAGGCAGTTAGGATAAAGAAAAGCTCAAGACCTGCCTCAGAAGGAAGAGTGATGAAAAAGCAGAGCTGGTTACATCATATGCAGGACTCAGTACAAAATGAAGATGTGAACCTCTTGTTCAAAAATCAGAAAAAACTACCATTAAAGGCCCTAAAATGTGCTTTTCCTTTCTTCCATGGTTTCCTACAACTTGTTATGGTGATGTTTTCTGTTTGCTCCTTAATACTGTTATAAGGAAAATTAAAATTTTTAAATTAGTATGCATTTTACCATTTTTATATTGTGCATTTTAATTACAAATATAAAAGCATTTACCCATGTAGAATCACCAAATTTACACAATTTCCTTTTCCCAAACTTATGTGTATATATATACTATGTGCATATGTATTTTAATCTTACTAGAACGGTAGAAAAATCACACAAAACTCAATCAGTATTTCCCTTCTTGATATGTGCACGTTTTAACACACTCTACCTCTAGCTTACTGATGAATACAGGACTTAAAAAAGGAAGTATGGACTGCTTTATGTTTTCCTTTTCTTCTTTATTATCTTTTTCAGCACAAGTAGTTAGCTAAAGGGAAACAACATGAGAAAGAATGTATATGATGGGGTTCCTTGGTTATTTGTGTTTCTTAGCGTACCATTGCCTTCTTTCTGTGTTTTAGCAAGTCTGGTTCAAATGGAAAGCATGACTTTGGAGCTCCCAGCACTCTGTATTCAGTTACATAAGTTTCACTGCTTTTATTCTGAGCTCTGCCACATTATGGATCCTCAAGAATCCTGTGTTCTCAGAGCATTCTAAAGGCTATCTGTGCATGAGGCACTAAGGAACAGTGGACAAACACATCCCTTGTTTTTTGTTCCATTATTGCAGCAGACTTCACTTACAGAACACAAATTCAAGGATAAGTCAGGCAAGAGCAGAAAACCAAATGTGAGGTCCTTCCAAGTGTGGGTTCTTGTGCAACTACACAGGTCACCTGCCTGTGAAGCTGACCCAATATGGAGATTGAATTTGTTAAATGGGGAAAACACACCCGGGAGGTTTATGTTTTGAAACTAAAGCAATTAAAATGGCAATGTACACTCTAAGAAATCAACTGCCCAGGAAAAAGACACTATGCTGAAGGTACAAAAAAAATGAATGGCAGAATGCCTCAGTAAACATTGATGTAGTCAAAATTATTCATTAAGTTCCCTGTCGTCATGCTGCTTACAGGGAGGTAACCAAGCCATGAATAGAGATGAATAAGGTCAGCTTGTGCGTGACATCCCATAAAATCTATCCTTCAAAGCTATGCTCTCCAAACTTCCAAACATGTATCAGTGTCACTGGAGTCGTGTAGAAAGGAAGGTACCCAGATCCTACTCCACACCTGCTAAATCAAAATTGTTAGGCAAGGTTCCCAGCTTCAAGATTTTTAATCAACTGGACTAGTTTCAGTAGTGCTAAGTCTGAAACTTTGCTTGTATTGCATGGAGAATCCAGTAAGGAATATATAAAGAATGGAATAAATGGGATCAATAATCCTTTTTAAGTTTCTGCATAATGTATTTTTCCCCTAAACTTTTTATTATGGAGAGTGGTAAACATTTACAAAGATAAATAGTATATTGAAACCCTGCATCCAAAACCTACTTTTCAACAATTATGAAATCATGACCATGTATCTACACCCCTACTTACTCATCCAATTATAATTAATTTTTAAATAATTCCAATCTGTCAGTTTTCAATCTCTACTTTGTTTTAGATTTCAACAGTTGCTCTAGGGATTATAAATTCCTTTTTCTGTTCAATTCAGTAGCCACTCACAGATTTCCTGGCAGCGTTATCTGTACATTATACTCTTGTCCTTTTCTTACAGTTTATCAGACCCTGGGTAGGTAAAACTCCACATTAGCTGTGCTCTTTTTTCTTGGGATCCTGTGATGAATTTTCTTTTTTGGCTTGAGCCAACCCTGACTAGATTGTTTTTCTATCTGAGCATTCTCTCTTTAACATATGTAGCCTCCATTATAGTGTTAACTGTGATTATTAAAAGAGCTCGTACACAGGTAAAGTTAGTTAATTCAAAGAAGTTAGTACTTTCTTTCCCCCATTCTTTGTAATGTGATCCCAACTTTGTTTTCTATTTAACTTTCTATATGACCTACCCAGCTCTACTCTCCCTTTCCTTACAAAACAGTAGCTTATATTGTGTTCATGTATGAATATGCCACAATAGATTCCACCATTATGTGTAATTACAATGCAATTTTAAAAACTGAGGGGAAAAAACCACTACCTTGTTCTCCTGTGCCTAAACACCAATAGTTGTGCCCTTCACCTCAGAGCACTGTAAAGCCCCACCCCACAAAAAGGGCCCTCTTTGAGATGTAGTGCTTCATGTCAGTACTGCTCAGTGAACTTCAGTCATCTTACCTGTCTCTTCCAATGGTTGTTGAGATGGAGACTTGTACTACTCTGGAAAGCCATCCTACTTGGTATGGAGTCCCATTAACCATTAATAGATTAAACTTGAATCGGCCATTCAAATTTTTTTGCAAAATTCCAGAGCTGCCTTGTATTTAAGAACAATAGAAACAGACAACCAAGCAAAATTAATGGAGAAAATGGCCATAATAAAATGTATTACCAATGTTCTGAATATTTTGATATCCAGATATTATCTTGTAGACTACTTCTTGCCATTCTCACTAGCTGTGGCTCAAAAATCTTTTTTATCATCCAGTGTATCTTCATTTGTGGTCTTGGAAATGGCATCTTTAATTATATATCTGTATGCTTCCTAGCATCTAGCACCTAGGCCCTATCTAGTACCTACCTTTGATAGATGTAGCAAGCAGAATGAGGCCATCCACCCAGATGTTTTCAATATCCAACTCACATGGATAAAATATGTTGTGAGCAGGCCTCCCAGACAACAGGAATGAAAGCAGTGAGGACTAGCCAAAGGGTGATCAAAGATACAAGCAGTCAGGCTGGTTTAATCTCACCCAATTGACTGTGTGCCACATATTTTGTGCCTAGAAGCATAGCTGACCATGACTATCCAACATGCAGCTGTCTTAAGGATTCTAAAAGAAAAAAAACTAACCAGCAACTAATGACACAAGCAGGATATATTACTTCCTTCTTGTGTCCTTAGGGAAAGATCTTCAGCACCTCTCATGCTCAATTTTTTTGTAAAATGTAAAATGAAAACAGAATGGCTATGAATTCTATTAAATATATATCAAGTACTCTCAGAGATGCTTTCAGTAATATTTAATTATTTTTTAAAATCAAACTTAGCTTTCCCCTCTGAATTGCCTAGCAAACAAATCATTTTTCTACCAAATAACCATCTTCTTTGACGTATTTTTATATCCTTACTTTGCAAAGTGAAGAAATTTCATACCTTAAGCAATGCAGTGTTCTTTTTACTTGTCTCTGATAAAATTATTTCTGATCAAAACAAAACCAGAAATGGCTTCAGAATGGTTGATAAACTAAAATTTTAATTTTAATTGGTAACTTCTTCACTTGGCTCTTGGTAAGTTCCCAGCTTTTTCCCCAGCCCTGCACAGAGTTGCCTGTATAACAGGTCCTCCGTGTGTATTTGCTGTGGTTGTATAGTTTCCTGTGGCTGTCATAACAAATTGCTAGGGCATACCCAATCAACGATGATCTCAGATCAAGGTCCTTAACTGAATCACATCTGCAAACTCATCTCCCTTACAAGGTAACATTTACAGACTTTAGGAATTAGGACCTTTGGGTGGCCATTGTTAAGCATACTATAGTGGCATTTGGTGGTACACCATCTCAGGGCTGTGAACACAAACAGTGGATTTGGGAGCTACAGACAATGGAGCTCACCAAAAAAGTGGCTGGAAACCAAGTCTTCTATTCCTGGCTCCTGCTCTTCTGCATACATTCATTAATGGACCTTAGAAGAAAAATAAAGTAGGTCTTCAACCCTTGAAGTCCCTGTGAACCTTACTCTCCATCTCCAAATTCCTTATATTTTTAAAACAGAAAGCAAAAGAGACTCCAAAGGAATCAAATCCCAGGAGTATTCAACAACAACAAAAATACTGTTTTGCTTTTTTTAAATTTTATTTTACCAGCATCCATATGGAGGCAAGGTGAAAGAATATCTATACTAATGACCAGAAAAATTAGCAACAGCATCTTGCAAGTGTAAGGTACCATTTGCTTTGATGCCTCTCAAAGGTCTTTTAAGGGAACTTAATATCCTGGATTAAAACCAACAGAGGCAGCCAGACTAAGTGATGAGAGCAGAGAGGAAAAAAGCAACAGAAAATATCCTCCAGTTTCACTAAAAACTACCAACTATCAAGTTTAAAAATACAGTCTGATTTTTCATCCAAGCTCATGTATGACCTTTTTATTTTTTATGTGGCTGTATTCCCTCAGTAGAACTGAACAATCCAGTGGGAAGAGAAATGATCTAGAACAGAAGGTTCTAGAGCTACCCCACAAGCAGGGCTCACAAAGACTCTCCCTGGTGCATTCTGAATACCCTGTGACACTGACCAATGGCACCTCTGGGTTCACTTCCTGTAGCATCTCTGTCGTGCCACTGAGTAGCACTTCTCTGGGTGAAGGAAAGAGGTGCTGGCAAGAGGTGGTGTCTCAGACCACTCCTGTGTTCCTCCCATATTATGGGGCTTGAAAAATGTTAAGGAACTCATCATTTTCTTCTAGATTTCAAAAGGCAGGAAAAAGATTGGCATCATTGACTATATACACAGCATGAGGAAGGCTTTGCACAAACATGTCCTAGTTGATCAGTAACTTTCACATTATCAAGTTAATGCACAGCTCAGTATCAGGATGAAACTGAGACTATCGTGCTAAGTGAAATAAGACAATCCCCAAAACCAAAGGCTGAATGTTCTAATATGAGGATTCTGACTCACAATAAGCCAGAGGGAGGAAGGAGTGGAAGTTCGCTGGATGGGATTGGGAAAAAGTAGAATGAATTGGACATTAACTTTCCTTTGTTCACATATGAATACAGGACCAGTGTAACTCCACATCATGTACAACCACAAAAATGGGAAGTTATACTCCATGTATGTATGTCAAAATTCATTCTACTGTCAAGTATAACTAAAAAGAATAAAAAATTTTTAAAAAGGAAGTTACCGATATCAAAATAAAGTCACTTTATGTCTAATAATATGGAGCCCAAAGGCCATGAAGGAGGGGCATTTGCACATTATACCTATACAAAAATAAAAAAGGGGAAAAAAAACCCACAGGAAATTCTTTCTAAGCCACACTTTGCTCCATGAAACACACACAAGGACAGCTAGCCGTACAAAGACAGCTATCCACCAGCATAAGAACACCTGCCTGACAGCCTCCACTAATGAACTGTCAACACCTGTGATAAGACTCTGTAACCAGTACATGTACTTTTCCCTGCTGTCTTTAAGAGCTTCCTGTTGCCCCAACTTCCTCAAATGGGCCTCGCAGTGCACCATATAGCTCACCGTGGCACCATATCCTAGACTGCAGTACCCTTGCTACTCCTGAATTAGCTGTCCTGGAGATCCAGTCCTCTATTGTTTATTTTAGATATACAACAGTGATTAATAACCAGTTCTGTATTGGCAAATATTTGGTTTTCCCAAGATCTCAAAAATACCATCTTTAATCTCTGACCCCTACTCCAGGGAAGAAAAAGGGAAAAAAAAATACCTTGTGACTCAATGGCTTCTACAGTCATCTTCACATTAGAACCCAGGGGAAGGAGATGAGACATTTTAAACATTCCAAAATTCAGGCCACACTCCAAACCAACTATATAGCAATCTCTGGTGGAGGGACGCAGATGGAAGTTCTCTATGCACCCAGGGGAGTCCAATCTGGAGACGAGGGTGGCAGCCTCTGCCCTATGTTACTTTCATTCTACAGCGAATATTTTCAAAATGCCATTCCCAATAAAAGAGACCCTCTTCACTAGCTGTAAGCAAGAAATTAGTTAACATTGTCTGTTAGAAGTTTTAATTACTAAACTTAATGTTAGATTCATTCCTTCTGAATGTGACCTTCTAAAGCAACAACTCTCAGAATGACAAGGGCCCATAAAAGAGCATCAAAGTATTTGTTCACTAATAGGAAATGCAAAGTGACAAAAATGCACTTCCTTCTGTTTATACATCACTATCCCCTGTGATAGTTTTCCATGTTTGTATTCAGTGCCAAGGTAACAAATGCCCTCATAAACCACTAAATCAAGTGTGGAATATTACACATTATTTAGGACCCTAAGGGAAATTAATATTAACAACCGTGTATCCTTTTCAATAAGGTGATTAAATAAACTCGATGGTCTATAATCTACAAACTTAACTTACAGTTCCAGGCTCTCCTTGGGTGCTTTCATCCACCAGGAATCATTTCACTAATCTCTGCTTGAAAAAGCTGTCTCTCCATCAGTGGTGACACTCACAGGAGCCTATGGTATGAATATGTTATTTTGACTCTTAGGCAATACTACTGCATGTTATCTATAAATCACATATTCCAGATGTAGAGGCACAGATGTTTTGAAGGTGAAGCAAAGATGGAATAATCTTCCAACCTCTGAAAACACCAACTGCAGTGTCCTACCTTTCCCTGGTTTTGGAGTCAGAGGTTCTTCATAGGTAACCATGTGACCCTGGGCCAAGGAGCTCCTGTTGAGGTCTCTATCACTTCCTGGGTACCAGGTCCCAAGTGTGTCCTGTAATTGCTGAGAGCCCTTCACAGTGCCTTCCTCTCTGGACACCTTAGGTCTTTAAAACCTTGAAAGCCAAGTTCTAAATGTAAAATTCTGTTCTCTATAGATAGAGCTTTAAACTTTATTTTGGTGGTGACTTAGGTAAATTTTGGGGCACTTTTTTTTTAACACAAAAAAGGCAACAAAGTGAGTTGCAGAAGAGTTCAGATGTGTAAAAAGCCACTCAACTGTGCTCTTGCATCAAAACAAACCCTCAAACCTCACAGATAAGGTGGTACATATTAGGTTAATAGCAGGTAATACATCCTGCAACAAGGACTATGCCTGCTTAAATTAGGAGTGTCCAAGAGCGCATCACTGGTGCTACTCACTCTGTCAATGAAATGTCAGCCAAAGGGCCTGAAGGTCATTCCAAGCAAGGGTCCTGATGAAACCAAAAAGAGTCAAGCCTTCATAAGATCCTACACCCAAGACAAGAAAAGTTTCTCATTTTGGCATTAAACTCTATTTATTTAGTATTTGAAACATGGTGTACATTTATGAATTTGTATAAACATTTAGTACATCTAAAATCCACAACTGGTAAACAATCTGTGCTTTCTTTTGTGTACAAGGTTGAGTTTAACATCTGGATATTTTGGTGTTGTGGAGAACCAGTCTGTGAATCTAATCAGATTGCCTCATATTACCATAACAACTGTGACAGGAGTGATTTGTTCCTTAGAAGGGCTGCTGCTTGCCCAGAAAAGGTGTCACGCTTTGGAACTAATAAACCAAGTGTCCAGGAAACAAGAGAAACATGGCTGATATGAGGAGGAAAGTTCGTGCAGGAGATTCCTGGAAATCCACGTCAATGCACAACAGGCAACTGAAGCCAAGTGGTGACACCTAGTCTCCCCTGCTTCCCCACCAGAGGGGTTCTGCGCATCAGGAGCTGGTACTCTCTCTGCTCAGAGGGTGCCCCAAGAACGTCACAGCTGCAGCTCGGAGGTGCCAACCAGGCCCAGGGCTCTGGCTTCTTCTGGAGTCAGGCCACTCTTCAGGGTCCTTCGCACTGCAGTGATCACAGCCAGAGACACAAGGAGAGAAGGAGGTATTATGAGCGAGGCATGCAGCAGTCAGTACACCAGTCTCCCCTCTCCCCAAGGACCCCCAGGAATGCTGCACAACACCCTGCTCTTGCTGAAGCACCCAGGGTAGAAAAGATCTTGGGGATACAACAGGGTGAGCTGAAGGTGATATTGTCCAGAAGGGAAAGGGGCATGGACTGGGACTAATAAAGAGGGGACAAAGGAGGAGGCTTCTGAGAAACGGGTGCAAACTACACAAGTGCTCACGGCAAGTGGAGAGCTCATTCTCTGCCCAGCACACAAAGTGTTAACAGAGCTGGAAAAGTAATCACAAAGCCTGGGACCGCAGGCACTTCAGTGATAGAAATTAAGTAAAATAGTGCACGGTGAGGGGATCAGCAAACTTCAACAACCCTATGGGTCTGCAGAAGGAGCAAGGATAGCTAGGGACACATTGGAGAACTCATGGCTCCATGCAGCCAGGTGTTAAAAGACCCAGGTCAGCAGACAGGATGAGTTTCTCTATGAGTGTTATGGGTCTCAGTCTCAATTTATCAAAGGACCCTTGGGGACAATGATTAAAATGAACAGCGATTCCTTGCGGAATGGATGCCAAGGAGCAAAACCACTGAAGAAAAATCACCAAACTTCTGGGTGGGTTTGGGGATGTTTTCTACAAAATAACACAAAGCTCAAGAAGGTAGTGACCACACCTTCATTGGTGCTCATGGCTGGAAATTGGATCATTGCTTACATTTAACTGACAGATTTCTGTGTTTATCTTGGCAATATGGTTTTTCCCATTGTTTGATCAATTTGGATGTCGGAATAAAGGCTGGATCAGGGTGAATGAGAAAGCAGCTGCCCCTCCCTAGATAAGTCCTTTCATTTGACAGATCAACCAATTACATTACCCTTAATTTACAAATCATATTTGGCCTGCTCTATATTTCTTTTAAGGTTATACAGAGTCCAGGGTATTTATTCTATTTTCAAAAGAGTTGTGTCATGGATCTACCTTCCATTCTAAATCCCAAGTCAGCCATTCCCTGAGATGAAAACAGGCTTTTAATCAAAGTACAAAGGTCAAGCTCACCCTTAGTGTCTTTCCCTTTCTCCTGCCAGACCCAATTCCCCTCATCCCTCAGAAGCCAGGGGCTCACCTCATGGGAATGCAGGCAACACCCCAAATTCCCTACCTCATCAACACATGGACAAAAGCTCATTTAGTTAACAAAAAGAACTGAAAGACCTAGGCTCATGGTGGAATGAACAGAGACTAACACCTATTAATAAATGTCTTTGAATAGGAGCCAGTATCTAATGCATTGATAGTCAACAAATCATTTATAGCAAGTCTATCAGATGCTCAACATTTAAAGAATTGAAAGTTTCATGGAAATCTCAGACATTAAATATGGATTCCTTAAGAATGGTGAGGGGTACCCCCAAATCATGCCACTCTTATTTCCAAACCTAGCTTTGGGCCCCAGACCTATCTATCTGCAGCATCTCCTGTACCCGCTCACCCTCCCCAAACTGGCCCCTTAGACTCCCAACTTAACTCAACCAGACCAAAAGTTTGGCTCCAGAGCCTTGACCGCAGACAGACTACACATAACTGAGTAATGGAATTTGTTCTGTGGGGCAGTAATAAAAACACTAGTTTGTAATAACTGTAATAACTGCCTCTGTGCTTTAAACAAAGTGTTTCTTAAAGAAAGATCATTTTTAATAGAGGAAAATAAGATAAAAATCTCTCCCCTTCTCAAAAAGGAAAGACAGCCAAGACTACTTTATCAAGATTCAAAATACTGCCTGAGGAAGTGCATGCTGTACTAGCAGGCATTTCAAATTCCATTAACCATAGAAGGCAGCATAGACACGGCCTGGAGACTGCCATCTCTGTGTATGTAGGAACATATTCTAGGGTGAAAGACTATAGAGGCCCCACAGACTGATAGGAATTTCATCCATGAAGGTGTTTGAAAATGTTTCTTAAATGCTTCTGTTCACCCATTTGCTCTAGTCCTGTAACTGATGTTCAGTTCATATAAAACCCTGCATAAGGACTCTGACACCTTTAGCTCATGTAATAATCTCATAGACACGGGCCTTGGGCTGGCCTATCTGCAGTGGAATCAGGGACAGATCAAAGCTAATTGGTGCTGCCTCAGCCTCTCCATCTCACTGCACAGAGGCTGTGCTTACCCCTGTGGGTTCCCACTCAGTTTTGATGCTTCAGACCACGAGGGATCCTCTCCCCCTTCCCACACCCTCTGACCAGGGTCCAAGGGTCCTCTGTCATGGGGGAAAGCCAGCATGGCTTAGTTCCCTTTGCTTGCCAAATGACTTCCCCCCTTAATGAGTAGTCATAGAAAAATATGCCCCATTAATGGATCTTACTGTGTACCTTCACATCAATACCAATAAAGTTCATAAAAGAACCTGAGTACTGACCCCTCTTTGTGTAACATAAAAGAACCTGAGTACTGACCCCTCCCCTTTGTTAAAGAGTCAAAGTTAGTTCACTTCGCCACTTGAAAAGATGAAAGTAATGAGTTGAAATCAGTTTTGTGCCCTGATTCAAGCCATGCCTGTCATTCATTCATTATTCATCCATAATGATGGTCAGTCTGTTCATCATTCAGGAAATATTCCTGAGCATCTTCCCTGAGCCAAGTGCTTGCAAATGGAGGAGCCAGGTCAGGTTCTGACAGGGAAGAAGGGTAAGGAGAAACCCTCAGGGCAACAGAATGTGTCCAGGTTGGGAGTTGGCTCTCAAAGTTTTCCAAAAAGCAAAACAGTGCTCAGGGAATAAGAAAACAAGGGTGCTTACAAATAGGCTGCAGCATGTGGAACTGCACAAACTAAACCTCTAATTTCTCCATCAAATAGAGGTTATTGTCAAGTGAGCATATTGGGTCTTGCTCCATTCCCTATTTCTGCATCCCATTGAATGCTCTCCCATGTGACTGGCTCCCATCCCTGAAGTTGCTTAACAGCAGACTGGATGTTTATCTTTGTCTGCTTCAAGGCTCTTCCACACAGTGTGGGTCTCTTGGCTGGCACCAGCAGCAACCCTGTGCCCCAGACACTTGTGACAGCTCTCAGTGCCATGGTGATGGGGGAGGGGTTCTGAAGCAGGGCACCTCTTCAGTCAACATGCAGCACAGGACTATGGGGAATCAGGTGAAAAACAAGTTCTCTCTCCTCTCCTCCACCCTTAGAGATCAGGAAGTTTTTTAATCCTACAAAATGGTAACTCTTGGTTAAAACAAGTTGAATTTGAGAGCCATGGGGACAGTTGTCATTTACTGAGTTTACAGAGAGATCTGATCACCTACACAGTAAGTGTGGAGAAGGGTGTTAGGCTGGCCATTCAGATCACAGCCACATTGGAGACAGCTGTGCCCTGATGATCGCTGGCAGGATGCTGACAATCTTTCATATTGATGAGCTAACCACTTTAGTTCCAAATGACAGAATTTTATTTCTGATCTTTCACCTTCAGATCACTGACAGTTTTTTTTTGTGTGTTTTTTTTTTTTTTTGCATATGATGTTGAACAGGATTTGAAAATAAGTTTTTAACCCTTAATATTCTAAAGATTTTATACTTACTACCCTGGGAGCAGTGTGCCTAGGATCATAGGTACTGCATAGAAGTTTAAGATGCCTTAAATGGTTGGGCACAGTGATGCATCCCTGTAATCTCAGCTACTTGGTAGGCTGAGACAGGAGGATCTCTTTCTAGCCCCCATATAAAAGAGAACACCGACCTTTGACTTTCTGAATCTGGCTTATTTCCCTTAGCATGTTCTCCAGTTCCATACACATACCAACAAATGACAGCATTCTTATTTATAGCTAAGTGAAATTCCATTATGTATACACACACACTTTCTTTATCCATTCTTATGTTGATACCTGGGCTGGTTCCATAACTTGGCTATTGTGAACTGCACTTCTTTAAACATTGTAATGCATACGTCACTATAGCATGCCGATTCTAGATCTCTTGGGTAAATACCAATGAGTAGGATAACTGGGTCACATGGTGGTTCCATTTCTACTCTTTTGGGTCATCTCCATATTGCTCTTCAAAGTGGTTGTACTAATCTGAAGCCCCACCAACAAGGCATGAGTGTACTTTCCATGTATCCTTACAAGCACTTATTTCTATCCTTGATGATTGCCATTCTAACTAGAGATGAAGTATCAGTGTAGTTTTGATTTGCATTTCCCTGGTTAAGGATATTGAACATTTTTCACGTATTTGTTGGTCATCTACATTTCTTTTGAGAAGTGTCTATTTAGATCTTTTGCCCATTTGTTGACTGGGTGTTTATTTTTTGGATTTTAAACTTACTTTATTCAGAATATTAATTCCCTGTTGGCAGAAGAACTGGCAAAGATTTTCTTCCATCCTATAGATTGCTTTTTGTGCAGAATAACTGCAGAAGTTTTTTGTGCAGAAGTTTTTTGCTTTAAAGCATACTGTTGTTTCTCAGTTTTATTTCTTGAGCCTGCACCAGTATGTTGGTGTTATCCTTATTTTTCTTCCAACAGTTGCAATGTTTCTAATTTCTAGGCCTTTGATCCACTTTAATTTTTGTGCAGGGTGAGAGGGGGATTGTTTTAGTCAGCTTTTTCACTACTGTGACCAAAAGAACTGACGAGAACAATTTTAGAAGAGGAAGTTTATTTGGCACTTATGGTTTCAGGGTATCAGTTCACAACTGGCCGACTCCATTGCTCTGAGCTTGAAGGAAGGCAGAAATCATTGCAGAAGGGTATGGCAGAGGAAAGCAGTTCAGGAGATGTTAATCAGGAAGCAGAAAGAGACTCCCCCCATCACGTTCAAAATATATGCCCTAAAGGCCCATCCCCAATGATCCAACTACTCCAGCTATACCCCACCTACCTACAGTTACCACCCAGTTAGTTAATCCCTATCAGCAGATTAATACACTAATCAGGTT